CTTGCCGCAAAATTTCAGTGTGGCACACTTGGCAAACTTGCAGATGAAGATAGCAGCTGCCACCGGGCATGGTGCCAAGGTAAATACACGGTGGAAATTGTATTGGCAGTTGTTTAATTTTAAATTCAAATATTTAACATCGGATTTCAGGGTTAAAATAAAATATTAAATATATGATTTTCTTCTTAAATAGTTTACCATTACACGGAATCAATACAGATAAACCCTCCAAGCAGCAGCTTCCTAGGTCTAAAATGCGGCTGCCTTTAAAATAGTTCGGTACAATTCTTGTTCTACTGATCTTGAGAAAACCGAACACAAATATAGTCTAGTGTACGGCTACTTTGACGCTGCAGACATATCGCATATCCGAAGGCTGCACGATTCCGAAACATACGATTCGACTCGAAATTCCTGTCCTCCTGACGGAGGAGTATAATTTTAGGGAGCTGCCAAAAATATCCCGGGAGCCGGTAAAAAATCACTTAAGAGCATATGTCAGCAAGCAAATGTCGGCCAATGGCGAATGCAACGATGGCCTGAAGGAAGAACCTTTCCAGGATGGATCCAGGGAGGCGGGATATTTTCGGGATCTGAAAAAATAGATTTGTAAGAAATTTATTTATAATTTGATCTGTTTTTTTCACGTTTTTAGCTCTCAAGATTCATGAACTCGCAGAATGGCTAATCAATTGCGCGCACATTGAACACAAATCAAATTGCAAACTTGCCGCGTCCAACGATTTTTGCAAAAACTTTTCCGGGCTACCCTGCCCCACGCCTCACCAGTTTCCATTGGCTCCATCCTATTCGAGATCAACTTTTGCTCAATTTGATTTTTCAACAAAATAGGAAGAACTTTTCGCCTTTTTACCTGCCCTTTTGTGTGCGTCTACTTTTGCTTGTCGTTAAACAAACTTATCCAATAAAACTTTTGTCAACATTGATTTAAGGCTAAAGAGGGTGCATATTACGGGCAAGTATGGGTGGAGTGGGGCGGATTGAAAAATCATTTGACATTTCGTTTGCTTTTACCATAAGTCAAAAAATGTTAAGCCCCACAGAGATGAAAAAAGTGTTATCAGGTGCTCTAAATACTTGGAGGAAAGTTGAACCAGCAAAGTGATGGATATAAAGTTGTAAGAAATCTTTAAGGTAACTCATGAATAAATATATTTTTTTATAATCGATTTTTTATGATTTTAAAAGGAAGGATGAAATAATTCTTTGGTTCTATTCATGAGAAATATTAAAAGAGACTTTTTGGAAGTACCAAAGATATTAAATTAACGATTAATATTAAGATTACAATTTTTATTCCATCAACCTCTGTTAAAATCTCTGAAGTTCCGTAACACCCGAGATTATTCTTTTTTCAAGACTTTGTGAACCAGAATCCTCCCCCCTATTCAGCACACCTGGCAGTTCTGGTGTAAACACACCCTCTGACCCACTCACAAACACCCAAGCACACTGTTCCGTACTTAGAATGTGGGCTTAAGTCAGTTTTTGTCTTGTCCTCGAGCAAACAAACGGAAAGTGTTGGCCAGGCCGCATAAGTAGAACAGTCCGAGGCAAAAGTTTTGCTTGCAACGTGATATCCTTGTTGCTTTTGTGGAAATGCATTTACAGTTTGCTGACTGTGGCAGCTTCTCTTTATCCACTTCTACTTAAGACTTTAATAGTTGCAAAAGTTTTCAACGCGCGCGGTCTTAAGTAGCTGTTCTTCGGGGGAAGTGCTTAAAATGACTGTAAAACTGCCAACATAAATCTGGCCACAACATCTTTTATGTTGCCACTAGCCAGAAGTTAATGCCAGCCACGTAAGATGAAGATTTAAGGAATCGAAAAGCAAAAGCAGACTGGGGAATCTCGGCAAGATTAAAAAGTTCTGCAGACAAGCAACAAATTGACGCGTATCTTTTGCATATTGAATAAAAGTCAAATTGTGTTTGGCATATTAAGCGGGAATCATTCGGCAATGCCGATGGAAAATCGAAAGCAAATCCCAGGCCACCCAAAAAAAGGAAATACCGCCCCGTCCGTCTGGCGGAGAAAAGTGATTTTTCTTGTTGGACTTACGGCTTAGCGTGGCAGCAATTTCCACTGCAGATTCAGCGATTCTGGCCAATAACTTCGTTTCTCGACTTGACAATGCCACATCAAAGCTTTGAATTTAAAGCGAAATTAGTTGTTCACAAATTGGGTAACTTAATATTGTTTTCTATTAAAATTACCCGTTACTATTTACTCTATTATAATATTTGCGCCACTTTGTCTGGCTTAATTCTATTGACATTTAATTACTAGTATTATATGGCAACAATCGCCTCATTGAAAATATTTTAAATAAATATTTCTTCTCTCTTTGCTGTAATTCAAGCTTATGGAATATATGCGAGCCATCGAAATGAGCCGAAACCGCATTATTTTGTCAAATGGTGAGCTAAACGAGGTGAGCAATTGAAGTTTACATTGTACAATACAAAATTATCAAATATATTTAATCCCCAAAAAGTCATTAAAAATCACTTTTGGGTTTAAATAAATATTGAGTTTAATCCAAGAATAATAATAGTTACTTTTACTGATATACCCAGAAAATTCTATGTTAATGGAAAGGTATTTCTGTTTGACTTCTGATATTTTTTTTTATTTATTTAGAACAAAGATATCAACCCTCCGTGCATCAATGCCATCCTCGCACAAGGCAATAAATATTCCGAATATCCCATATAGACATGCCAAATTTACAAGTGGTCAGTGGCAGGGACGCTAATGAGCCAAACGCAATGCAAATTGATAGCCCTTTTTTGACAGACACGCCCCTTTTTTCGCACCGCCCACGCGAACAGTTTGCTGTGGCTTAAGGGATTAGCATCGTTATGCCCACTTTATTTGTTTATATATGCACGGTCGTTGGAGTATGGAATTCCATGTAATTGTTTTTAATTTCCATGCATTTATAATTCAGTATACTCGCGGCCTTATGAAAAGCTCATTTGGTTATGAGTGTCCTGGGTCCTTAAGTCCCGTCTACTTCAAAGTGTTAACGAGCTGGGAGGCTGCCGTAATTATGCAAATTTTTAATGAGTGTGAAAACGGTTGGCATGGGAGCAACAAGTGTTCGCGTCTTGGTCCTTGGGCCAGTCCCTATCCATCTACATCCACATCCACCCACTGAAATGGCGGCTAATTCCATTTGACCCAGAAGCCCCATGGCAATCCATTTACATGGCTTCAACTACCTCGTCGCTTCCTGAATCCTTGCCACTCCGATTCCGATGCCAATCCACCCACCCATTTTCCCCTTATAATCCTCCTTCTGTGTGAGAGCTCTGAGCTCAGTTGACTGCTGGCATTTGGTCTTTAGATTTATACAGATTTTGTCGAACAAAACATGAATTTGCACTTTTACACACATATGTGAATGAAATGACTGAAAGAGAGAGCGGCGAAAGCCGATTTGGTGCCATTCAGCTGAAGCGGACCTCCCGCAATACGGTTAAGCCCTTTAGACCATGCTTCGCATATGGTCGAGAGCTACATTTAACTCGTTTAAGAGGGTAAAGATAATAAAAACATCAGCGCAAAAATACCAAGTAAATGTTAATTTACATGTGAAAGTGTGGAAACTTTAAAGACGCAAAATAATATAATTTCAAATATAATATGGGATCATCTAAGATGTGAAAATTAATGTACATATTTATATTGATCAAAAATGTATTTGCTACATACCCATAACCAACATACTATATACTGCGCTCAGGAATAAAATAATTTGGACCCTTGGATCTGAAACGAAGGTTTAAATTACTACTGAATAATAGGCTAGGGGTAAGCACCTCTCAAATTACATATCCTTCTCAAATTACACAACAATTCTTGTAGAATGAGGAAAATCTGAAGAATTGTGATATAAGAAATGTTTAGATGAGGCTTAACAAAAATATATCACAAATAAAATGACTAACCCGCAATACTAATTAGTTTCGTTCAGCTGGGCGAAAAGTTATCGCGTCTCCATGAATCCGTCCTGGAGAGTTAAATTCCTTTAGTGAGCAAAAAAGACTTCGTCCTTCAGTCTATCACTGCACTTGCCATTGGCCAGCACCTGCTTGCAGCCACATGCCCTTAGATGATTATTCATCGGTTCCCGGAATACACTCGGTAGCTGCCTAAATCCACACTCCGCAGTCAGGCGGGCGGAAATTGCGAGTGCAACATATACGTATATTGGAACCGTTCAGCCTGCAAATATGCTATATCTCTACTGTATCAAAGGAGACGCTGCAGGACATTTCCGCGATTTACTTGGCCAGCACTAGAAGAACAAGAACTGTACGAAACTATTTTAGAGGCAGCTGCCTTTTAGGCAAAGAAAGCTGTTGCACGCAGAACCGATCTCGACTGACTGCCGATGGTCGGAGTTCACCGAATTATATAGCAGCAGAATTTCAAAATAAAGAGCACGGAACCGCAGACGTTTGGCTCATTCCCGCGAGGGAAATAAAAAACCAATTTCAAATGAGCGATTAGAAAATGCTGAATATACTGTATCAGTTATTGGAGAATGACGCCCAAGGGAATTAGTCAAGAATATTTTACCCACAGGAACAATATTTGTGTGCCGAAAAAATTCCGTCTATCGGAATTAGAGTTTCATAGTGCTCAACACTAGTTGAGTAAGTTTTATAGTACGATCTTGACTTTAACCTTTGCATGACATCATCTTCGATCACAATATACTTTTTTTCTGTAGTTGTAATTTGTTAACATCCAACAATAATAAAATAAGGGCAACCAAAATATTTAGAAATGTTTATGTTATTTAAACGGATCAATATTTTTTACAAATTCTCTCAGTGCAAAATAAAATAATAATAATTATTTTTCTTTTTTGTTAATTTCTCAAGTTCATTGATATCGAAATTAAGTCTTTTAAATATCAGAACCAAAACCGAGCGGCTTCAGTCGAGATTAGCACTTTGCCGAAAATGAATCTGCGTCTAAATAATTTCGGTTTACTTCTTGTATTTATAATGTTTAAGAAATCAAAAGCAATTATTCCCAACTGTGATTATTCCGATACCGTGGACATATCCCATTTCCAAAGTATAAATGACTCCTACAAGTACAATGATCTAGAAATTCCTGCCCACCTCACTGGAAAATATAACTTCATGCAACTTGCAGACGGATCAAAAAAAACTGTGCAGAGTCATTTGAGAGGATGCGTCTGCAAACTAAAACCCTGCATCCGATTTTGCTGCCCCCGTAAGAAAATGTTACCTAATGGCCACTGCAGCGATGGCCTAGAAGAGGAACTTCAACGGGTCAATCCCTACCTCAACATCACCCTTCAGGACGGATCTGTAAAGACACATTACCTCCTCAGCGACATGATCGTGTTAAGGAATGAGTTTCGGTATTGCGAGAGGGGGTTTATAGTGCGCGAAAATCAATACAAACTTTTTGAGGTTCGATATTTGACCTAACTTCAGTTACGAAATTTAATCGGATTTCTTTAGAACGGAAGCATTGTTCTTAGATCCCCAACCAACTGGACACTGAACAAAGAGTGGTACTGTCTCTATCCCCATCGGTTTTATTCGGAATACCCGAACTCCATTTGGATTCTTGAGCATATATACATACCGGAATCGATGCCCGCGGTACCCCAAGGTAAGAAATTTTCTGGCCAAAGAATTTTTTTTATTTTATCCTTTTCCAGTCGGCACAATTTCTATGATGGGCTGTATTCTAACGATCGGAGTTTATCTCTGTATAGAGAAACTGCGGAATCTGCTCGGAAAATGCTTTATCAGCTTTGTATTTTGCAAATTCATGCAGTATTTTATTTGGGCAGGTGGTGATTTAAAGTTATGGAGGAACATTTGCTCTCTGGCAGGTCGGATTTCGAATTGAGTACGTTATACAGTGGAATAATATCAAAAATGTCCTCCCACAGGCTACACTAACTACTTTTTCGCAGTGGCCTCTCATCTTTGGCTCTCTGTTATGAGCCATCATATTTGGAAAGGCTTACAGTCGGTGAATCGCAATGAACATCGATATCGGTTCCTGGCCTACTCTGCTTATAGTTGGGGCATATCTGCTGTTCTGACCGGAGTTACAGTTCTAATGGATTGGATTTGGGAAGGTAGACCCGACAAGATAAATTGGATGCCTGGTGTTGGACTTTACCGATGCTGGATAAACAGTGGGTTTAAAGCCGATAAGCCGAAGACCAGTAGTAACTCTTTTCTTTTGTTCACAGCTTATGACTGGTCTGCAATGATATACCTATATGGGCCGATGCTGATCCTAAGTATGTTTAATATAATCACATTTATCATGACGGTAAATCATATAAGGAAGGTGAAGAATAACCTTAAGAAGATCACGCATCGGCAGGAGAAGTCCCCGGATAAGAATAGGTAAGTGTTTGGACCTTACAACTTTCTAACCAAGAATATTTTACAGCTAACTCCATTTTCAAATCAAAGATTTGTACTATATTTGCGGCTCTCTATAATGATGGGCGTTACTGGGATTTCGGAGGTAATAACCTACCTCGTGAACCGCCGCACTTTTTGGCGACGTATCCTCCGCGTAGCAAACTTTTTCCATTTAAGTTTTGGTATAATCGTCTTTGTGCTATTTATCCTTAAGCGTAGTACGCTTCAGCTCCTAATGGAGAGGTAAGTGTTCTTCCATTAAAAGACACCCAATTTATAGTAATCTTATGGTTATCCTGTCAGAATTCGGTGCCCAAGGAATGAACAGCCTGCGGTCGATCAAAGAACCAAAGTACTCTTTTAGTTCTGCCAAAGAAAGCAAAAGTTTTTAAAAGATAAATTATAATTTTGACTCTTTTATAAAAAAAAAAAGTGTAAACAGTAACGTGCCATCATAATCATCTTTAAATTTGTGTATTTATTTAATCTATAAAAATATTTTATGAATTAAAAATTTAAATTTTCATCAAAATACTACCATTCAACGTGAAAATGTGTGTATGCTAACTGCCTTTTTCAATTTAGGACTCCGAATACCTTCTCCTGCCTCACAATTCAAGCCTGGTGTCAGAATGCAAATGCATATTTTTAAGCCCTGCGGCAGCTTTTTCGCAAACAGATTGTAAACAAATAAATGACACACAGATACTCGCACGTTCAGTGGTCAGTGTCCAGAGATTCCAGGCTGAAATTCATTCAATACTTTATTTCACATGCACTCTACTTCACTTTTGAGCCACGTGAAATTCAGTCTGCTGAACTGAAACCTTTTTCGCACTTAAGTGGTTAAATTGGCTGTGATAAATTGTTGCCGAGTCAAAGTTGTTGGCGCTGCGGGGCACCTCAAGTCACATATGTATGGTCGTACGGGTGGGCGGTCTGAGTGGGTGGTGCGTGGTTTTGTGGGCGGAAAGTGCGTGATAAGTCCGCAAGGACGCAACAGTGAGAGGCTGACACTCTCTCATCTGCTTATTCATTGAGTGCCTGCCGCTGACAGTAATCATAACGCAGTCATCAGCTCGTGATATTACTGCCGCCTGACATATGACATCTGGGAAACGGGAAATGTGAAATGGGGGACTGGGGACCAAGGAAAAGGAATGTGGACTATTAATATGCCAGTGTGTGGAGGCTTCTATGCAGTGAGAAACTCCACTTCATTTTTGATTTTATCAAATTATTTGTTCATGCGTCACTGCCACAAAAAAATCAAAATTTAAAGATAAGAAAATGAGCCCCACCAGAATTAAAATAATTATTATTTTAAGGAACACTCAAAATAAAGTTTGAAAGATTTAATTTAAAGAAGATATATATTTATTTTAGAATTTTTCTTTCGAAATCTGAATTTTAACAAACTAAATGTTATACATTTGAGATGAAAAAAATTCAATTCCTATAACATTTTTTTCTCTGTGCACTAATAGTACTAATATTATCCAAACCCCAGCTTATAATGGGTGGTTCCTAATGGGTGATGGTTAATGGGGTGGTGGTTAAGAGGTGGAATAACTGCTGGCTAATGGGCGGAGGGCGTGCCTGAGACTGATGGAAACCTTTTAGCTGCAGTAGCCAAATTAAATGTCTAGCCAAGTATCGTTCCTTTTGATTAGCCGTGATGAGTTGTATTAAGTGAGGGATTCTCCCACCTTGAAGTCTCAAAACATGTTCAAAGCACACAGAGTGAGCTGTGCCAGTAAGCAAATTTTCACGCTTATCGCAAAAGTCACATCAGACAATCTTGATGTGCATATCATTTTTATGGGCAATTCATGCAAAATGCTTCCTGTAGCCAACAACACCAAGAAAAAACACAAAGCCAACGTCGAAAGTGGCGAGAAATGTGTTGGCATACCCGCCTTTTTAATACCCTTTGGCTTTCAAAATATTTAATGGAAAAATTAATTTTTCTAAAATATTTCCGTTCTGCTAATTTGTTTTATTATTATAATCATAATTATCATATATAAAATAAGAAAATTAGACGGTTTTTATTAAAGAAATATGACTAAGAAAGTTCTAGAAAATTAATTTTTATTCTGCACCTAATTACGGATCCTTTTTTAATTTCTGGTCATAAAAAGATAATTACTTACTTTGTTTTAATGTTCTGAAGTATTTTCCTTGCAGGATTTCAAGCTGTCCTGTTAGTCCTTTCAGTCTAAGTCCTCTACTGCAGTTGTCGTCGCTTTCCATGTATGTTTGAGCCTCGTTTCTTCCTCTAACTTGCTGGCTGACCGAGTGTTTTTGCAATTTACAGGAAAAACTACACTGCGTTTCAAAAATATAAAGTGTTTAGCAGTTCTTTTATAGTAAAATGAAATGATTAGTTACTAGGAAAATAACTGAGTTAAGTTGAATAATCGTTAAGAATTAAGACTGAATATTACAGAATTTAAGTCTTTTAATAATGTTTGTTTGAAACAATAAAATACCGTTTTGCCTACATTTGTCAAAATTAAAACTCTAAATTTAAATTTTAAAAGAACAATGAAGTCATATTGTTCTTTACTAATACCAATTCTTATATGAATTCAACGTTTTTCAATGGGCTAACAATTCTGAAACGTACTGTACCCATGTGTGTATATGTATCTAACTATCTTTCGTTTTTTTTTTGTGAACTTGTATCTGCCGTCGAGGCAAACAATGGAAATGCAAATTGTTGCAATGTCTTTGTTTTAATTTTTTCCCCAGGAGCGCATATTCGGCAGGCCTGTGAAAGGATTTGTATCCTACCGCCATTTGTCGGTCTACGATTTTTTCCCTTTTTTTCCTTGTATGTTTGTTTGCTGTTTTCCGTTTTTGCGTAACACTCGGACTGTTGGCTTTGTAGTTCGCTTACTTTTCATTGTCACCGGCGACGCTGTCATCAAATTTTTTGTTCATTTGCATACGCGAGACAGTGGTGTTGGATGTTGGTCACGTGGCCACCGGCCACTGGCCATTGCACTCGACTCCGACCGGAGAGTCCTTGTACTTGGCGTACTCGTGACATTGACGTATGAATGCCTGAATACCTGGGCCTCATAAATACATTCACACTCGACGGTCAACTTGGGAGTGCTGGTGGTTCTGGTGGTTCCGTCCGAGTTCAACGGCCCACAAAACCCCCAATAAAACTGGCTTCATTAGCCGCCATTAGCCGGCTTTGTCTTCGTTTGCCTCAAAGTGAAATTGTGCAGAAAAATAGAAATAGCCGGAGCAGGAGGCAAAAAACGAAGCTGGACACATGGCCCTCTTGCCTCTTGAATGCGTGTGGAGTGTCATTAAAGTTTCATCAACGCCGCAAAATGAAAATGGAACTCAACAAACTCCGCTCGGTTTCCAGGAACACCCCAGTTTGCCAACTCCCCGAGGGCAGGGATATATGTATATTCAAGATACAAGGGATATACTTAAGGGGAATAAGGGGGAATGAAGGGAAGGCCTGCTGATATTGTCATTACATGCTTGGGGGATATTTCTGTGGCGTAACCAAGGCAAATGTACTTTTGACAGTCCAACTGCTGAAACTCCTGAACTGAAACCTAAAAGGGTTGACCAACCCTCGCCGGTGACCCCGGCAACCGCAATGGACAAAAGACAAAAGATTTGTTTGCTCGCCGGGACAACAGCTGCTGATGCCCCCGAGTCGTTCGTCCTTCGTCCTTTGTTATCCACTCTACCCCCACACAATTGCCCCAAATTGGTTTGTTTAATAGTTTCGAATCTTGTTCTCGGCCCAGCAGCAATAAATGTTGTGTAAGTATTTAAATATTTATCAGTCAAAAATCTCGCACTAGTATCTTGTATCGCACAGATGACGCACTTATCCATGGGATCCCACCCCCCACTGGGTATTGGTAATTTTCGCCTTGGCCAATCAAGTTGTCTTGCTTAGCAAGAATTCTAAGCTAACACTTACTTTGCCAAGATTAAGACTAAGAATTAATAGAATGATAAGAAAATTAAAAAAAAGAAAAGAACAATTTTCCTAACCACCACTAAAAACCATTTAAATAAATTATTTTTTTAAAAGCAAAAATATTATTATCTGTATGTGTATGGCAACATGTTGCCAAGTCTTTGAGCAACATTTTGTGGAACTTATGTAGCAAACAATATTAGGATAATAAATAAATTAGGATAAAAATATAATTTGACAACAATGGAAATACAAAAAAATTATAATAATTTTTAAACTTAAATAACTAAATAAAGAATAAACCAAAAATGGATGACAAATAAAATAGGTTCAATTTTAAATTTCTAATTTAAAGTAATTAAAATCCAGAATGCAATACACAAATATAGTATAGTGGGCTTATCTTAACTTATCCGGAGATTTAACTATCGCTTGGTTTATTTTCTGTCAAACAAGGGGGTCTTGACATCGATAAGATTAGCTGGAATTTAAGGCCCCCATGAGATTAGCACTGCCCCTCGAACAGTCGTAAACCTGGGAGCGGATAGATGCAGGTGAGATTGCGATAAGGTGCGATTACCATAGACACAAGAGGACGGCGCTTTCGTTCAGTTGGAACCATGATCTTGACCACCACATTCGTGTGCTTCTGCCTGGCCTCGGCCTTCAATTATTTCAGGACCCGTAGGCAGAGGTCGCTGATCAAGAATCTCAAAGGACCCTTCACCTGGCCGCTGATGGGGGCAATGCACAAGCTGTTGTTCCTGAAGCCAAAAAGTTCGTTATTTTGCTAGCTAATATTAGAAAATTAAATTTCTAAATAATTTTGGAAGATTTCTTTAAGCGCAGCACCGAATATTTGGCTAAATATGGTTCCTTCAGCCGTTGTTGGGTCTTCCATCGCCTGTTTATTGCACTGGCTGATCTGGAGCTCAGCAGACAGCTTCTGGAAAGCGAATCGCATCTGGAAACGGGCTACGAACTGATGAAGGATTGGCTGGGAGGAGGTGTTCTTATGTGTCAGCCGGATCAGTGGCAAAGGCGACATTGTCTAATCAGTGGGCTCTTTGACAAGGGAAACTCCGAACAGCTGATGAAATTATGTCGCCAGCAAACGGAGAAACTGCAACAAAAGTTGGTGGAACGAGCGGATCAAAAAGTGTTTGATGTCTGGGAAATAATATCTCGCAATGTGTTGGAGTTAATAGTTACGACCACTTGTGGTGCAAAACCCACGGAGGAATATTCCAAGAACCTCGGAGAGTAAGAGTCTATAGAAATCACCTCAGTTCCTTATGATCACCACTTTCCTTAACTTTTATAGATTGTCGGAGCTTTATAGAAAACGTTTTCTCAGCCTGCAGTCTGCCAACAGATTCAACTATTGGCTCAGTTCTCCTTTTATGAGAAGACATCAGAACCGTTTGATAAAAAGACTGAACGAGGAACACAAGGATCTCATAGCCAGTCACCAAAAGCAAGAGAACTTAAAGATGGGTGATGGTTTTCCTGGCATGGATCATATAAAAGCACTACCTCTGAAGTATCATGAATCCCTGTTGCAAATTCTTCTGGAAAGCAAAGATCCAAGTCTTACAGTTGAAGAAATCTACGGGGAGCTGAATACGTGTAATTACTTGGGTTACCTCCTCTGTAGTTCAGCACTCTGCTTCACCCTCGTCACTATTGCAAGAAATCCATCGGTGCAACAAAGGTGTTTGGAAGAATTAAAGCTAGCTCAGATCAAGGATCAAGGATGGAACTTGGAAAAACTTCCTTATCTAGAAGCTGTCCTGCAGGAAACCATGAGACTTTACCCGCCACAAGTCATTGTTGGCCGGCAGCTCAAGAACGATTTTCCCTACAGTGCGTATGAGTGATATTCTTATCAGCCCGAAACCTTCATTCATGATAATTTTTTCCACAGCACACAGTATTGTAGGAGATGGAGTTTTACCCTTCGGCTCAGAGATCTATATAAATCTCCACGAACTGCAGCGAAATGAAAATCGTTATCCGAAAGCTAATCACTTTAAAGCGGATCGATTTTTAGACTCTCCTCCGGAACTCCTGAGTTTTAGTCTTGGGCCGCGTTGCTGTCCAGCTAGAAAATTTAGTATAAACCTACTTAAAACCTTTCTGGCCCCTATTTTAACCGACTTCGAACTATTACCCTATGGCGATGAGCTGCGCTTGGACTTGCGACTAATTTTGGGATCATCCAATGGATTTCAGTTGGCTTTGAAGCCGCGGTAAAAATATCGAATAATTTGTTCATATTGCAAAATATATATATAAAAACAAAAAAAGTCCTTTCTCTCAGTTAAACGTACAAAATTCACATAAAAACGTTTGTATTGCTCTTTGCTTGAATACCCGGAAATAATTTCTATAAAATATTATTCCAAGTGAATTAAACCAGTCTTGTCCGTAGAAGCTATAACAATTTAATATTAAAAGTCCTGAAATATCCCTAAAGCTTATGTGCTATTGCGCTTGCGCATTCCCAGTTGGAATCCTGTATCCGATCGCAAGACGATGTTCACGACGCACTCCACCCTTTGACCCATCGGCAGGAGTTCGTACTCCCTCACAATCTTGGCCAGCATCATCTTCATCTCCAGCTGGGCGAACTTCTGACCTATGCAATTACGTGGTCCGGCACTGAAAGGTATCATTTTAAAGGGCGGAACTCGATTTCCGTCTTCATGTCGCTCCGGAATGAAATCATCTGGATTGGGATAGGTCTCTGGTTGCCGATGGACTCCAAAGATTCCGATTATTATCTCTGAGCCGGCAGGAATTACTCCATCGCCGTACTTAGAGTTAGCTAAAGAATATTGCATGATGAGAAACAATGGCACTTAAAGATTATAAGACACCTACTGTATTTAAAGTCAGTCTGCAGTTTGCGTCCCACGATGGGTACAGGTGGATACATCCTCAGCGACTCCTTGATGACGCATTCCATGTACTTCAGCTCTCCGAGATCCCGAATGCTGACGGGTCGGCTACGATCGGTGCCCAGGACCCGCAGAATCTCCTCCAGCATCTTTTCCTGCACTTCCGAATGTCTCGAGAGCTCATGCAGGCAGAAGGACAAGGCACTGGTGGTGGTATCGTGGCCCTCGAACATGAAGGTGTCCACCTCTTCGCGGATCTCATCGTTGTTCAGAGGTCTGCCATCAACAGTGGCCATCAGCAGGACATCCAGCAAGGCCATCCGCCGTTTAGAACCCACATCATTATCTCCAGTGTCCCTTAACCTTTGTTGCTTCTGCTCATCCTCCAAAGCCCGACGACGCTGCTCGATCACCTTGATGGTAAAGTCCTGCATTGTGCGGATGAGCTGCGTCTGACGCCATTTCAGGTGGGGATGGGTGAGTGTAAACAGCAGCTCCACCTGCAGGTAAGCCGACATGAATCGCCAGCTTAACAGAGCAGTGCATCTAAGAGGGTTAAGGATATATTTATATTTATTTTATATTTTAGAACTATTTACTACTCACTCATTGACTGCCTCTGCATAGGGAGTGCTTTCGTTGGCCTGGGCATATATTTTCGTGCCCATGGCTGTTTCGGCTATGATGTCCAAAGCGGCTGCACAAATGTTTCGGTAAACATCGAATGTCTCACCATTAGCCTTCTGCGCCAATCGTTGGACACAAATGTTTGACTGCTGATCGAATACCTCAACGAACTGCTCAAGGATCGAGAAATGGAAGGTGGGCGTGATGATCTTGCGGCGCTGGTGCCACACCTTTCCATCGCTGAGGAGTAATCCGTTACCCAGCCACTGTCCAAGTACTTTGTACACCGGATGCTTCACCAGATGCTCCTGGCTGCTTAGCAGCTGCTCATTCAGCTCCGCATCGCCACTCATTATCAGCAGGCGATTAAACACCCATACTCGCTGGAGGTGACCATATCGGGTCACGTACTCCCTGCCCAACTTCAGGAAGGCTGAAATTATTAAAATAACAAGCTCAAAGTATAGTTAAAGAAAAAAAAAAATAAAATAAATATTTGCACCAAGCTAAAAAATAATTAAATTGTTTGTTTCTCTGTTCTGGAATTCGCATTGATAAGAATTCATTTCTTCTTATAACCACTGGTCATTCATAAATGGTTTAGCGATAATGCACTAGATTCCCAAGTAATCTGCCCACAATGTTTGTTTATTGAAAACAGAAGTATTATTAGCCTAAGATTAAGGTTTTTTTTGGTTTACTGTTTGACTTAACCCAATCTAAATTTAGCATAAGTAGTACCAATAAAATATGGCGATAGTATTCAAGCAACTTCTAATTTTCCGTTAATAAAATTCATCAAATTAAGTTAGTTTTAGAAAAAATTCTATTCTTTATTGAATAATGTTATTCAAACCGGTTTATTTATAATATTTACTAGAGAGTGCAAAACTAGAATCATGCAATAAAAATATGCACAACTATACCCATAAGTATTGTCCAACGTTATATAGTAAAACTTGTTCCATTAACATGTCATTCGCTTTACAACCTAGTTGAATTGAATACTCGTAATTCCTTATCAGTAGCGTAAAAACAGAAACAGTCACGAACAGCTTTCAGAGCTGAGTTACTTAAATTCAAAACTGATGAATAGCAAGTAAAACCTATTACAGTAATTATATTAATGGAAGTCAAATCAAAATAATTTTATACATTTAATAATAAAAAAAGAAATGGATTTTTAGCTAAATTATATAGTTCAAGTTTTTATCAAACGAACAATTAAATGTAAATCTAAACAAATAATATGTAAATAAACAAATCCAAATGTATCAATTGGAGAAACATTAATCATAAATCATAATATTCAATCGGCATGTTATATTTCTTTACAATTTTAATGTTAAAAAAAAAAAAACTTTGATGATATTTAAAATGGTATAACATAACTTTTTCGATCAATTTACTTACTTTTGGGGTTCATCCGCAGCATGAGTTGAAGGGCGCCAATGAGCGGCGGACACACGGGTCCAGGCAAGTTGGCCACCTTCCGCCGGCGATCGGCCTGGCCAAGATGTATGATCCAGCCCGCCGCCAAGAGCAACACAACCAGCAGGAACAGCAACATTTTGCACTCTGAACGGTCGATTATTCCAACGAAGCCGATGCGAACGATCCGAGCGATCCGAGAGCGGCATTCTTACGAGTATATCTAATCGGCTTCAGATTCAAATGTAACTCAAAGTGCATGTAGAGTAGCATTATAGCGATAATTGCGCTAATCTGCGTAGACTATTTGAAGCCAGCGTGTTAAGTGGGTGGGTTTATTAAGTACTTGTATTGCTAGTAATTATTCCCAGCCCATCGGCAAGATAACGAGGAGCCCTGCAGGCGATTGACACTCTGCCCTGGGGCACAAACTTGCTTGTTTTTTTTTTTAAAGTAATTTCCGTTAGAGACATTCGTGCGGAAATTAAAACATTTGACCCAACTCCCGCGCAGAAAGTGCATGAATGGCTAGATGGACAGATAGATGGCTGGACTGGCGACTCGTCAGCTGGCCAAGGGATGCCTTCGAAAAAACTAATTAACACCGACTTCCTGGGCCGGGCAACTTTGACTTTGTAATGGCATTTTATTATTTTAAATACTCACAATATCCACAGCAGAACGAGTGCGAGCATGCAGACGAAAAGTGTTTTTAAATGTAGACAGAATGGGGATTTTCAATTTTCACAATGACTTTTATAAATAAAATGCTTGGTCATACATATCTCGCATTTCGTTTCACTTCTGTTGCTCTGCGCGGCACAGAAAGATTTTCCGCATTAATTTTGCATATTAAAAATGCAATTTGTTGCGTTAATTGCAGCATGTGAAATGTATCGGACAATGCGAGTGGTATGCGGGTTCCTCCACCCAACGAAAAAAAAAACGAAACCCTGCCCTTTTCCACGCCAGCGGAGCAGCCAAGTCTCGTTGATAGCAAGTGCAAACAAGCGGACAACGAGGCGTATGCGTAATGCAAGAGAGTGGGTGATAAATGGGTGGGTGGTGGAGGGGGTTTCCACTGGCCACCGCTGGACATTAAAATTATTTTAAAGGCGGCCAGAGAGAATCTGATATTTTGTGCAAACAAAGAAGACAACAAAAAGTGAATATGGTAAATAATTACGAGTGAAATTTCGGCAGTTTAAACTTGAAGGGAAGACAATGAATCAGAGGTTTCTTAAATTATTTGTTTATTTACAAATGTATACTTTTACGTACTATACTATATACCTACTACACCTTTAGTACCTAATAAAAAAAATTCTATTAGGTCTTCAGCTTAAAATATTATTGGTAAAATATATAAAAAGCATTGTAACTGTTCCAACTGCGGAATTTAAGCCCCAACTTCGTGAAGCTCCATTTTTAGAAAGTATTGGCTTCTGCAATTGATGTATCGGTCTGGAGGGCGGATATTTCTCAATGGTCTTCTCGGCAATCGCTCGTATTCCCGTCCACGACTCTTCAGCCAGGTGGCGAATTTCCCTGGGTGGCGGGAAAAACTTGTATTCCACATGATCTTGGCCAGTTCCCGACATCTCGAAAACAAAGGACAGAGGGAAGCCCACGTGGTATGCATAATCCATGCTGGTGCCCCCAAATGCTCCGGCATATTGAGCCGCCTGACGGGGCTTTATAACAGTCCCCGTACTAAGGAATATCCTATCGGCTGCGAACCTGGCGATCTCATCGTGTTCCTCATGATTGGGCACTGGCGATCTATAGATAAAATAAATAATCAATTTAATATTTTTTAAATAAATACATGATTTAATTAAGACAGACTTTCAACTCACGTATCATAAACCCAGGGATAGAAAACAGAACGATTTGCCGTGTGCAGAGAGAGATACATGACAGCCCGCTTACTTTCCACCAGATTATGCATTATGTCGCGCACTGTTCGTGCCTCCACCTCTGAGAATGGAGAACTACCCGCGTAATTGTCATCACAGGGATGCTTTAGCTCCGGAAAACCCACTCCCCATCCGACTTCAAAGTTCCGGTTGAGATTTGTGCCAAAACAGTCGCCGCCATTTGGGGTCCTTGTGTTTCTCCAATAGCGATCTTTACTGCGGGAGTACTCATACCCATCCGGATTCGCCAGCGGAATAATGTGCCAATCGTAATCGGCTAGGAGATCGGCGTTCTCTGCGAATTCCACTACCAGTTTATTTATTGCATACAAAGCGACGGCGGGGGTCATCCACTCGCGGGAGTGCAGGGCGGCATCCACAAATATCACCCTCTTTCCAGGTCGTTGATCTCCGTTCGTTATCATGGCGACTTTCAGGGCTCGATTCTCGTAGGTTCGGCCCACATCCTTAATGGTCACCCGATCACTATAGGTTACTGCCAACTGATCCAGATACTGCATCACTCCATCGTAACTGAGGTAGTCACCCAGCTGAAGTTGGCGAGAGAAACGCCGGCGAATGTTTCTCGTCTCCGCCAGCGGATTTAGAATCACAACGAACAGGCAGATCGCGCACACAGTTCTCCACATCTTGCCGGAGAGCCAATCGACAGAGCACTAACTCTGATCGACCAGTATGCGGTTATATATAGCTTTAGAGCGATAGCATTTCGAAGGGCTTCTATGGGGTATAGGAATGTCTCTTACTCTTGCAAAAAATTATATTCTGGAGAAACCAATGAGTTTTAAGAGCACAGATATTAAATAAATCATAACAAAAATAAAACGTGCTTGTATAATTTTACATTATTTGTCTTTTATTTTTATGTTACAAAATTATTCAATTAAAGTACCGTATTATTTAAAAATAGTAGTAATAATAATCATCGTGTTTTATTTAATGGGTAGCTCTGTAATGTTTAGTAAAATTTAAGGAATTTGAAAATGCTTATATGTATATAGATTGCAATCACATATTTTGAGTGTAACAGAGCATGCAAAATAAAGAGAACAAGCGTATGCTTGATGGAGCTATCTCTCTTATATTATAGCTCTTTTATCGTATTAACAATGGCTTACGTTTTTAATAATTAATGAGAAATATACACAGCCACAATAAGCAGAAAGCACTTAAAAGGGGATTTAATTTGGCTGCACCTGAAGGTTTGATTTTTATTGAATCGGATGTTTTGAATTCAGCACTTTGTAAATCTATAAATTCAAAATCATCGTATTCGTCTTCCTCATTTAGGCATTTGCATTTTTCTTCTTCGGGAGCATTGCATTTATATTTAATGGCTCCTACGACCAGATTAAATACTCCACTCCAACCCACAAAGACACGTTCGTCTATAAAGATTCTTGGGTTTCCTTTAAATTCTTTTGCTTCGAAGACCTCGAGCGCAAAGGTGAGTGGAAATCCCTGTAGATAGGCGTAATCCAAACTGCTACCACCCAATCTTTGGTATTCGTTTGGAGGAATGTGCAGATACAGGGGTCTCGTATCTTCAAATATATTTGCACTGGCATATTCTGCTATCATCTTGAATATCTTGATTTCTGTCGGGGGCATTCTAAATAAATTTAAAGATTTTGTGAGAATAACAGAAAGTAATTAGGATTGGAAATATAAATACTTTCATATTTACTTACGTTTCGAGGGGCGAAGGATAAAGGATAGACGGGCGGCTTTTGGTTTGAAGTGTAATGTAGAGAAAATGCTGATTTTGTTCATAAAGTCTTTTCATTAAACTCGCAATAATATTTGATTCGCGTTCGGAAAATGAAATGTTCCCTGGAAACTGCTGACTAAAGGGTGAAATATTCTCTTGAGATAACTTATGCCAGTTTGAGTTGAAGTTGCGATTCAGATTGGTACCAGAGCTAAATTTATTTGGTGAGCGATTCTTTTTCCAGAAATGAGACAGTGGGTGTTGAGAGTATTCATAGCCATCCGGATTGACCATGGGCAGGATGTACCAGTCGAATCGTTCTAGTAACATTTTATTCTCTTCGTAATTTAACACCAACTCATGAATAATTTTGAGCGCCACTGAGGTTGTCATCCACTCGTTTCCTTGGATGGCCGCATCCAGTAGAATCACTTTCTTAGGACCAACGCAGTCATAGTCCTGTGGCGCAGTTATTTTCACCATATACACGTATCGAAACTCGTAGGTCTTTGTCAATTTTTGAAGCTCTACATTTTTGAAGGAGTTGCTAAGGGTTTGAAGGTACCAGCTCATTTCGTCGTAGGTATAGAAGCCATCCAATTTTAGGATGGGTGTTTGGGAATTAAAATAATCCGCGGAGGCTGTCACTGCGAAAAGTAAAAGCACTGGTCGCCACATATTGCTAATTCAAACTGACTTTCTACTGGAGATTTTATTCATTCCAAAGTCTTCTAAATTTCATTCCAGATAATATTATTTGGGATTTTCGCTTACGCACTTTTAAATTTATGTCTTGAAGATACATGATATTTCATGAGTCAAAATAATTAAATTAAAAATAATATTCATTGTAAGCAATTATGTAAATAGTGTTCTTAGAATTTGGTTAAACACTAAAATAATAATAAAACCGTACAACTCTACGAGTAATGGGTATACACATATTATTGCTATCATAGGCTTTAAGTTCTACGACAAAAAAAATTTTATTAAAATAAAAAAGAGTAGGTATGGTCTCTTAATTTCCAGCTCTCTTGATATCTAAACGTCTCTTAAGTTAAATTCTCTTTGGTATAATGATTCACGCAAAAGCTACGAATTTTAAAATCGCATAGAACTGCATTATTAGGGGAGTGTAGGGTAAGGTGACGAACGATTCGTTTTTTGAATGTAACTTTTGTAAAAATCAATATTTTTCAAAAGTGTAAACGCAGAAAGTTGCTTACATCTACTGAACATATCCCTGTAAAATTCGAAATTCGAAATTCCAATGCAGCTAAATCCCACAGCGTTTGGCGTGAACCCTACTTTTTTTGCACTTTCAAAAGTTGTAGGGTAATGTGACGAACGATTTGTTCTTTAATGTAACTTCTCCAAAAATCAATATTTTTTAAAAGTGTAAAAGCAGAAAGTTGCTTACATTTACTGAGCATATTTCTAAAAAAAAATTTGGTTTCGAAATTTCAACGTAGCCAAATCCCACAGCGTTTGGTGTAAACCATCCTTTTTACAAACAAAAAAATACATTTTTTTATATATTATTTACGGAAAGGTTATTTTCGATACGGAAAAGAAAAAAGTAATAAGGTAATACCCAAACTTACAAAAAAAAAATGGTCAAAGTGCAAATTTTTTTAAAATTAAATTAAACGGACTTCACTATTTAAAACAACAATAAAACTGCAGCAGTAAATGTTATCTGGTATTATTATATTTTTTTTACAAATAATCAACGATAACAGTTAAAATTCTTGAATAAAAAAAGTTCGTCACAATACCCTACAAAAAGTTCGTCACGATACCCTACAAGGTAGACTTGGAGCAAAAACGGTGTCACTCTCAAACGGCGCAAAAGAAAAAAACGCGAGGTACCAAAAACTGTTGATAAAGATCTCATGTATACGTGCATATATTTGCCTGATTTTATTTTCCAATCATCTTTGCTCTGGCACTGCTGAAACACAAGTAAATTGAATGGGTTTGCTAGTTTGCGCACCACATTTTTAGCGAAAATTACCTCACGAACAAATTACGGGACTTCTTATTAATATTACTGTAAATACATTGTCGACATGATAAGGGGAGACGACTACATTTATTTGGAATTTTTGTCGTGACGTCATATATGAGATTCGACGAGTTCGTCACATTACCCTACTCGTCAAATTACCCTACACTCCCCTATTTAATAAGAGTTGGCAGAATAAAACTGACGGGCATTTCAAAATTCTTTGGAAAGGCCATCCAAATAGAGTTAATATTTTCAAGGGCCAAGGAAAGCCAAAGAATGCAGATGGTTAAGCAAGTTTACCCCATTTTCTTTTTTAGCATTTTGCACCATGACTTTATCTTGCTTTGCGGCTTTGCCATTTTGCGGTTTAAGGGGCCATTAAAAAATGTAATTATGTTGATAAATACGTCTTACTGGGCATTTTGCATTTTTATTTTGCCAACTTCGCTGTGGACGATGTCCTGGCGATGGAAAGTGGGAAAACTTTAACCGCAACAGCTAAATAAAAACAACAACTAGCGGCTCGGCCTTTCTTCATCTCTTGCTTTTTGTTAGCTGTTTCAACTTTTTAGCCAACAAATTTACTAGCCATGGTGGGGCAAATATTTTATCATTGCGCCTTTTAGCACTCAAGTGGCGGACAGAAGCGGTGGTCTAAAAGGGAAAGAAGGGAAGGCAGAGGTCCTCCAGGATCCCGGACTAAGCGCAGTTTATGGCTTCATTTTTGCAAATTTCTGTCTTTTGCTCAGTTTTTCAATTCAGAAGTTCACTCCAGAAGTTGCTGGCCCTTTTCTGGTAATCATTTTGGTCATTACTTTGATGGCCAGCTAATGAAGCTATCATTTAGAGAAAATATTGAGAAAAAAAGGACACAGAGGACTCAAATTGATTATTGACTCTGGGCATTTGAGAGTTTTTGATTTACTTCCGGCTTCCTGAGAGTTTTCTTTTCGTTTGCAAACTTAATGAGCCTGCAAAAATCTGATTTCAATTTGCCGATTACAGTTGTCAATATGCATAATTTACGAGACTGAGGATGGGGAAAATCTTATTAGTTCATAAGCCACGCCAGTGGATGGTCCTTCGTCCTTACAAATGCTCCCGGGTCCGGGTCCTTTGGTTGCCATGCGAGTCACGTAGCTTTCATGTCCGATTTTTAAGTTTGCGCTGCACAAATCACAAAACTCCTCTGCATCTACATCCCGCTGCAGACGATGGGAAGGAACCAAGGATCACGGACTGGTGTAAGGACCAAAGCTAATGTCCTACTTGGGGCTATTTGTTGGCTGCACTTTGTGTGGATTTTTTATGATTTGTTTACGCTGCCTCCGAACGTGAGTGATAAGCAGAGAGTGAACCGCAGGCAGGACAACTAAATCGAGCCTTTGAAGCCATTGACCAAATGCAACGGACATGATGGTTATTATTATATTTTATTCATAAATATATTTTTAGATTTTAAATCAAACCAGCTATGAACTTAAGCCTGTAAGCCTTTGGAAAACTTTATTACAACCATTATAAGGCAAAGTAGTCTACAAATTTAAGTTGTTTTTCCTAATTTGACACGAATTTCATAAATAAATAAATTCTCTAAAAATGTAGGTAAGCTCTATTAAATGGGTTAAAATATTTACTAGTATACTTTAATAGTGTAAAAAAGTAGCCTTTTCTCAGTTTTTTTTAACGATAGCTATTAACGATACTCTTTTTTATTCCTGGTACAAAAATATCATCAGTTCAAAGAATTAAATGAAAATAGGTAATTTTCGGATGCTTCAAAAATTTAACTAAAATGTAGAGAACTTTACAAAACCCATAATTTTTGTTCAACTTATCTTCACTAAGCACCTAGAATCCGTAGTGGGTACCGAAACCATCGAAGGTCATGTGGGAGACGGTCTCCGCGGGGGAATAGTGGATGACGGCGGGCTGGTGACTGTAGTGGGCGGGCTGGTGGTAAACCGAGGGAGCCTCCACATGGGCAGGTTGGTGGTAGACCGAGGGGCTCTGCACCTGAGCGGGCTGATGGTAGACCGAAGGGGTCTCCACATGGGCAGCCTGATGGTAGACCGAAGGGGTCTGGACATGAGCTGCCTGGTGATAAACCGGCGATGCCTGGGTGAACAGGTGGGAGGGTTCCTGCTGAGTGCTGTGGCTGTGATAGACAGGAGCTGGGATCGAGACTGGAACTGGAGCCGGGGCATAGCTGAAGGTCTTGGCCACCGCCGGCTGGTAGACATTGTTGCTGATCCGGGTGTCCTGCTTGTGGACCTGCGAATAGGGCGTGGCCACCGATTTGGCATAGTGGGAGACGGTGCCGTCGAAGCTCCTCACCACATTCTGCTGGGTGTGGGCCACCGCGTGCTCATCGCCCACATAGCTGATGCTCGGCTGGGCAATTAATCCCGCCCAAGTGGGAGCCAGGAGGAGCAGCAGGCTGGAGGCAACGCTGAGGAACTGGAAGTGAGCCATGTCGATGGGAGCAATGGGAACAACTGTGCTGGATAAGTCCAATGTTGGGCCATATATAGAAGACCTGACCACCGCAATGCCAATTACTCATAATCGGGCGCACTCCACTGAAACTTGTTTGCCGTCTGGCTTTGCGTGACTTTCAGAAATCCATTTCTCTATCCCGCGATCGTGGCAAATCAATTTACAATTGCCCAGCTCCAAGTGACAGCCGCAGAAGGCGGGGGCGGGCATATAAACTGAGGAAGGGCGTGTCGTCGACCCAGTTAAAAGAGGCCAAGACTTGGCCTATCGCCATTGCATAATGCCCGGAATAAGCTAAGGTCTGTGCACTTGCCGCACTTGCTCCACATTCCATGGATTCGAGTTCGGATACGGATTCAACTTGGATTCGGCTTGAGTGGCGGCGATGGCAACTTACAATTCACCGCTGAAGGGCCATCAAGTGGCCCAAACATATTGCGGCCAGCGCAATTTATGGCCCATCGGAGATGCATTAACGGCGCTGCCAAATTGTTAATGCACTTTCAGTTCCAGTTCCATCCGCTCTTCAAGCCTCTCGAACGGAGTGTTACGGTGGTACCATAAAGATATGCACGCAAATGGCGATATTTGTATCTTCACGCATTCAGAGTGACAACCATGAAGCATAATGAGCCATCAATGATACAACTTGTATACCTACATGCCAAATAATTATAACTATAATTATAAAAAAAATAAATAAATAATCAAAAGTAATTTATAATTATCTAAAATTAAGGAGAATCAGAAAAGCTAGTCATTAAGTAGTTGTTTTAACCGCAATTGAAAGTTTTTATTTGTAGTCAGAAGCTTAAAAATTTCTTATAATTTTTTATATAGGAAATTTTAGATATTAAAATTTTCTTAATATTTTTCTTTTTACAAAAGCCGGAAATAAGTAACAAACTTTATACAACAAACTCTTCTCTCTCGAAAAACTGTGTATTTTTTATAAAAGTAACTTAAAATTGTAAAAATTCAAATTGAAATAATTAAATAATAAGAATTTCAACATTGTCACAGATGTTTAACTGCATTTTTTCATCGATCTGAATTCAAGTTCCCCATTATAGTCCCCTGTCTCTTGAGTGGAAGGACACTCAACTTAAAGTTGCCTTATTGATGCGATTCTTTGATTCTTTGGCTGGTCCGTAAAATCGTTCAACTCACAATTGAGTCATAATGCAATTGGCAAACGTCAAGCAAATGTTGTTAACTTGCCGAAAGAGACAGAGAATGGGGAAGGGAGATGGATGGGTGGATGGTTGGATATATAGATGGACCGGATGTCCGGTTGGCAAGTGTTGGGGACATTGTTGCCACGATTGTCGAAGGAGAATGACACACACTCGCACTCACTATCGCAAATAGCATGAACATCTCGGCGCCAAATGTGATTACGATTACGGCGATTGCGGGCCAAGTTGAGAAAGTCACCTTTGTTGGCTCCATATCTTTATTGCGGGGATTAAGGAGTGTGTGCTTGTGTGTCCATTATGGTCCTTATGAAATTCGGCACATAAATTGTATTATTGCATTTATGCTTGATTTTATTTCTCTCCCGCTTTCCACTCCGCTTTTCTGTGCTGATTGTGCTTGAGTGTTGAATTGGCTTTCGCATTATATTTTTTCCTGTTTTTTCGTTTTTGGCCTTAAGTGGATTCGTCTTCGTTTACGTCTGCATTGTCGTCTGACTGAACTTAACGTTTTATTGTAGCGACAGGAATCACATGTGAGTGCTTACATTTCAACGGTTTCCTTTGCCCTTTCAACTCATGCGCCAACGCAATTTGAACTTCAATTAGCTGCATTTGGCCATGGCTAATAAACGCTGCCTTCGTCTTGGCTCCTCGTGCTGATATACAATTACAAATGACGCGTCAGGGCCAGGCCGAAAGTCAATTACCAGAGAGCACGGGAAAAAATCCTATTACTCGTGGCCTATTTTAGATAATTTCGATATAATTCTTACTACTTGCAATTATTTTTATTTTGGTGGATATACAGAAATTTCTAGAATTTTTAACATTATACAATTTAATGCACTTTAAGTGTAAATTTTAATAACATTTATAATAACTTTTTTCATTTCCGAATACTTTTTTCTTTAAAATATTTATGTATTCAAAATGTAAGACCAAATTTAACAGAAAATTTCTATTTTTCGCCGTGTACTTAAGTGCAAAAACAAAGAAAAGTAGCTTGAAAGCCCGCGCCTCGATGGCTAATTGGAATTGAAACATAAATTAAGCGTCCAATTCGAAGGCGAAGACGGCAGAATGCAACTAAAACTTTACGACTTCTTCACTTTGGCCAATTCCGAGCTCAACTTCCGCATTCACATGCCGTTCTGCACTTTTACGTTTTGTCGTAATCCCCGCCAATTACGATACTACTAGCTTTCCACTTTCCCACTTGACCCCCGGCTGTTGCATCCACATTGACAGCTTAGATTAAGTGTTGACTATAAATTGGCACGGTTAGTTGGCGGTTGTATTTATGAGGCCAGTGCAGTTGCCTTTTGGCAGCTCGAAATAATTTAGTGGCAATTACAAGTGACCAACGATAGTTTCACATATGTTCTGTGGGTCATTTGATCACATTTCAGCTTCGATATTAAATCCTGCTTTTATTTTGGTGAAACAAGTTAATGTTAAAGTTAAGTTGAAGTTAAGTTAAAGTTATTATAAAAAATAAGATAAATGTAAATCATTGTTTTGTTGAATTTCGTATCATTATTAGTTTAATAAATTTTTATTAGCAATTTAATTTAATTTATTTTTCTACAGAATATTTAAAGAACTCCAAATAAATATATTATTTATCATACTCCCTGATAAAACGAAGCCACTTGCACACGGGTTAAATTCCAGCATGAATGCTGGGGTTCTGAGGTTCCTTGGTGTTATATTGCCAATCAGCTGCGGAAACCACCCACTTCCACCCCCGAGGTCAGCCCATTTCGCCCCCCTTCGAATGCTCCTCGGCTCTCCGTGCTTTATGGCACAAAGGGGACTTGGCTTCAATTTTCTTTATATTACAGCTTGATTTAATTTGACGTGAGACTTGCTCTTGGGCCCTGTTCTTGACCAGACCGAAATTACACAGAAATGGAATCATGCGATGCGGGGGGAAAGTCGGACTGGAATCTGATTCTGAAGTGAAACGATTGCAGGTTACATTCGGGGAAATTCAAATGTCGCTTAATGAAAATATGAACAATTGGAAAAAGCAAATGTCATTTGCCAGCTGCCAGGAGCAGCGACTTAAGAAGGGTGGCTGATCTGCCCGATTGATATAATTTCATTAAGCAACCTTACCACCCCCCAAACAAAAACATTTTCAATGTAGTGCCACGCCCACTGACCACCGCCCACCCACTGTGACACCGGCGAGGGAAAACTTTTGGTGCAAAAAAGGAATAAAAAGTAACGGAAAGCGCTCGCTTAATAACAAATGGAAAGCGGAAAACGAGAGGGCAGTACTGCTGGACAGAGAAAAAAAGAAGGAAAATGATAATGAAAATGAAAATGCATAAACAGAAATCGTTGACAAGGCGGGTGGGGGGGAATGGGAATGTTCGGGGTGCTTAGATGTAGGACGGCTGCGTGGAAAACTCATTAAAACTTTTTCACAGCCCATTTAAAAGCAATTTGTAAATTGTAAAACTTGCACTTGGCCCGCGCAAAGTCGGTGAAAAATTGTAATAATTATTATTTATATTTTCGGGCCAAGCATAACCCATATTTCAGACGAAATGTAGGATAAGCATCTTAATACACTTAAATGTTTGTAATTAGTAGATTACATTAGATGCATTTGTAAAATGACTTAAATATTAAATATAAAGGTATAAAATAAAAAGAGCCACAACAAAATACATACAAAAATGCTACAAAATTTAAAGTTATTACATTTAAGGTTTTTTAAAAATAATTGAACAGTTAAGGCAACATTTTAATTAAGCCTTTAATGTTTTAGGACAATCATTCCTTGCCAGTTACGAAGCCTTTAAAAAAAATCCCACAAAGTCAATGGTGAGCTCAACAATCTGCCAGTTCCCATTTCCGTCGCATCCCTTCAGCCTGGAAAATAAGGGGTCGTCGCAATCACTTTGAGCCCGTGGAAAGGCTCACAATCGCAGACATTAAATCAAATTTCCGCACAATTCCGGCAACGGGGTATGAGAAAAATTGTGTTAGCTGCGGTTGGCTTTTCTCCGCAGCCTTCTGCTTATTTTACTTCCACTACCGCTGCTGCCATAGCGCCACTTAAATATTCAAAGCGAAAAGTTGCCCTAAACCTTTGCGTCTTGGCTGAATTTCCCCTGTTTTTCGTGTTTTCTTTTCTTTATTATTCAAACGCCGCTTTTCATGTGCAGTGCCGAAAAATTCCCACAGGATGCAGTCAAAGGCAATGGGGGACGAAAGGTTAGGGGTGAGATGGTGGGTGGGTGGATGAATTGTAATACACATGTGCAGTCCTTTAAACGTTTTTATAAGGTTCATCTCGCATTTACCGCCATGACTCGGCTTATGGGGGAAATCTAGGTGAATCCCTAGAGATATTCGTCCTTTTTTGGTTAAATTAAGGCAACGGGAGTTCTCACAGTAGTGCAAATATTAAATGTAAATAAATTATGTAACCATTTAAAAGAACCGCCATTTGTTTAAGAGTTGCCAGCTTAGCAGAAAATTTGCTAGTGGTTTGAGTCTGAGATAAGAGTGCTGGAAAATAGTTTTGTTTTGGCTTCAGGCATTATTTAGCGTGTTTTGCACAATAGAGCTGCCAGCTTATCTGGTTTTTGTCAAAACTGAACCGCTTGAAAACTTGAAATTAAATATTTTCAAAAATAGTTTTTTAATGTTTGTTATGTTCAATATTTTTCTTAGATTTTTAACCAAAAACTATCGATTATATATTAATACTTATTAGTTAACTGTTTAATCTGTAACTTATTTTACCTTTTAACAACAACGAAAGCTGAATATTTAATGAATTTAAAAAATAAGTTTATATTTTTAAGAGACGGAAATAATAGCTTAATAGCTATCTTAGCTATTTATGCGGTGGCATTTGGCTAGTGTTTCGGCGCGAGAGTTGGCAACACTGCCACACTGTCAAATTCCAGTAATTATTCTCCTCTGCCGCTGTTGTTCAATTGCGAAATCCTGCGCCCGCTTTAGCCCACAAGCCCTGCATATATTTGCCCGATCCGCGAGCAGGCGGAGATCCGTGAAAAGCCATACGTTTTGAAAGCTAACCGAGCAGTGCGAAAACGTGTCCGGAAAAGCCAAAGGCCAGGCGGCAGCGAGTGCGAAAGAGAGAGCGAGAGCAGGTGACAGCGACACCGACAAGATTTCCCCGTCCCCCCTCCGCCGCTCAACCCCCGTTTTCGACTGTTTTTTTTGCACGGCACGGGGAAAACCGAAGGAAAAACGAGATTTTCAATTGATTTGCAACGCAGTCCGGCCGGAAAATGCTAATAAACCTTAAGGTGAAGACCTTAGATGCGCGCACCCACGAATTCAGCATCGACAATGAGGTAATGTTTTGAGGTTGTGTGAGTCCAGTGTCCAGAGGCTTCTCTACTTACCAACCACCCCACCCCGCCCATTTTTCCAGCTCACGATCCGCCAGTTCAAGGACCAGATAGCCGAGAAGACCAACATCGCGGCGGAGAACCAGCGCATCATCTACCAGGGACGCGTTTTGGCCGATGAGAAGCAGGTGAAGGAGTACGGTGAGTCATGCCCCCGGGAGCACCCCTTATATATTCTATATCAACCATTACTTATCATAACTTTTACTTAGATGTCGATGGCAAAGTGCTCCATGTGGCCGAGCGTCCGCCCTTCTCGCAACGCGGCGCCAACTCCCGCAACAATGACGAACCCATGCGCCCCTTCCGCAATGTGGCACGTCCTCCGCCGCCCGGAATGCGCACTTCCCCGTATTTCCGCGCTTTGGACGGCATGCTGGTGGGCACCATGGCCATACCAGTGAACAATGGTCCCGTGGCAGGGGTAAATCTCTGGGAATAATCCCTTTTTAAACTCTGTTACTGAAACTTTCCTTAATCCACAACAGACTCGCCCCACCCCGAATCGCTACCCGAACTCCTCGTCCTTCTGCATCAATCGCATCACCGTCGCCCTGCACATGATCGATTGCGCCGACAATATAGCCGCCTATCTGGAGAATCCCGCCGTGGGTCTGAACAATCAGTCGCTGGACATTTTGCAGCGCGGTCGCTGGTCCATGGAGTCCACCGTCGTGGAGGTGGGCGTTTCCTCCACAGATCTGCCGCGCAACAATAACATAATTGACATGGTCCAAGATGCCGTGACCGCAGCTCTTTCGCGCACCGGAGCCCGCAACTATACGGTGGTGCAGCTGCCCACTGTTTATACCAATGAGAATGGGGAGACGAGTCAGCAGAGAACGGGAGAGGCGGGTACCAGCGAAGGGGCAGGAGCCGCAGGAGCTGCCAGTGACGCCAGCGGGGAGACAACCGCCGCGACTGTTATCATTGAGGATGTGATCGAAACCGACGATGAGGCTGCCGACGGAGCCTCAGATCGCTCGGCAACGCCTACTCCGGAGCCCGAGGCGGAGGGAGCAGTTGGTGGCCAGCCGGTGGCAGCTGCCGAGACTCCCAGCTCCTCGAATGGAGCTGCCAACGATGCTGCAGCCGGTGGCGAGGGAGGAAACAACTCGGGACCCAGGCGACGCACTCGTCCGCAGGTCTTGGCCCAAGTTATACAGCACTATCGTGGTGTGCAGACCCGTTTGGCACCCTTTGTGGATCGCTACTATGAGATCCTTCAGAATGATCCGACTTTCGAGGAGAGTGTGAGTCTTTCAACCATGTTTCTTGTTAACTTTTAGATATTAAAAGGTCGCATTACTTATTTTTAGGACACTGCTGGTCGCGAGAATGCCCAGCGCATCTTTGACCGCGTCTCGGAGGCTTTCCACTACCTCTCCCACGCCCAGCATGCCATTTCCGATTTGATGCTGGATTTGTCGCAGCCGGGACCGCGTGTGCTCACCTGTCGACCCATTCTGGTCGAGCAGAGCGGCTACATACGCTCGAATAACATTTTCACGCCCAACTTTTTGGCTCCGCCACCGGGTCTGCTTAACGAGCCTTTCCGCGGTAGAGCTCCCGGTTCTGCTGCCGCTGCTGGCACACAAACACCCACCACGGCAGGAACTCCCAGTGCTGTGGGCCCGCCGCAGGCCAGCAATCTGCAGGCGGCCACCGATGCCAGCCGGAGTGCGGCGGCCATGGCGGAGATAGCCAGTCGGGCGGCTGGAGCGGCTGCTGAGATGGCTGCCGGTGCAGCCAGTGCCGCGGCCGCAGCTGCTCGTGGTTTGGCCAGTGACCACGTCGAGGATCCCGTCGATGAGCCCATGGTGGCGCCGAATGCAGCTATCGGGACGCCACAAGGTCAGCAGCAACCACGTCTCGAAATGGGTAAGTTACGAATTCGATTGAATCTTCTTTATTACCTTGGTCGTTTGGAAGGCAATTATCTTTTCTGTTCAAGTACTGAATCACCCTATATATTGCCCCATTATTTGTTGACGATTTTCTAGATCACGATCACGATCAAGATCAAAACGAAACTCCTGAAAGAGAGATGCGAGCAGCGCCTAGGCTGCGTGTCTATGTGCCAGTGACCCTGCCACCGCCCAGTACGTTTTGGTTGTTTGGTTAAACGCAACTCATCTCAGTCATGGCAGACTAACCATTTCATTCACTGCATTTACGTTTCACTCACTCTGTTAGTTTGTTTTGTTTACTGACCAAAATCTTTAACCAGCTTAATCTCTGCAAGCACTCATCTTGTTATAAATAACTATACTAACTCCCGCCGTTTTGCAGATCCCCAACTGGAGATGGCTCGCAGTATTCTGGCAATGGTCAATGGTCAACGGCCGAACGATGTTCATGTGGAGTTCAATGCGCCCAATGTCATGTCGATTAACTTGCCCGTGCATGTGATGACCGCAGTGCGTCAGGCACCTGCTCCAGGTGCACAGGCCACGGAAACTGCGGCACCTTCGGCTCCCACTGAAGAATCATCACCCGAAAGTGCTCCTGCTGCCGGTGACTCTCCCAATGCCGCCTCCACTTCGAGTGGAACGCGCAGTGCAGACCAGAGGGCCAACACTTTGCCCACAACCTCCACACAAACGCGCTCGACTTCAAGGCCACAGATTCAGATTGGCGGCAACAACAACTGGGGCGGACGCATTGCGCCCACACACACGGCATTCGACCGCTTCCTGCCTTGCAATAGTCATCACATCCGGGAGCCAGAGCCGCTGCCCCATAGCAACAATGCCAGCGGTGCAAGCGCCAACCGCGGCACCGGCACAGCGGCTGTAGGAGGAGCTGCCGCCGTCGTCTCGCCCACAGCCGCCGTAGGAACTCGTCCTGGTGAGTACTGTTTCTTAGCAGGAGCTGCTATCAAACCACTTCATATCCACGACCCTCACCCTGACCCACTTAGCACACCAACCCATTTCATCCGCACACTCACCAACCAGAGATGGAGAACCAGTCGAATCAGGCTTGATCTGGCCTATCTAGCAGTCTCGTAAAACTTAAATTCAATCTAAAAAATATATATTAAATACCAGACTTCTTGAAAATTATAAAATTGCTAGGAATTTCCCGCAATTATTTTTTGTTTTGTGAAATTCCCGTTCAATGAAACACAAACATGAGTTTGCTCTAAAAGACTTGTATGAAATTCCTAGCACTTATTAATATTTTATTTTTATATCCTTGCAGAGGGTTTTATGATTTCAGTCAGAATTTTGCAACGCAGTAAAGCAGACGTTTCCGACCCTACCAAGTATATAATACCTTGTATTTTTGTAAACAATGTTTTTTATATATTTCTGAATTTCGGATAAAATTAAAAAAAAGTCGGACTACTATATCATATAGCTGCCATAGGAACGATCGGAAAATTAATGGGAAAATAGTAGGAATTAAATTATAGCTTCTATGGTTTTTATTGTATTCTCTGCTACTCTAGGATATGATTTTTTTTAAATTAAATTTTACAAAAATCGGGCAACGTTATTATATAGCTGCCATAGGAAGGTCAGAAAAATAATGTCAAAATAATAGCAAATTTAACATTTTTGCGATTTGTAAATTAATAGGAATGATCTGCAAGGGTATTAAAGCTTCGGCTGGCCGAAAATAGCTTATTTTCTTGTTATAGTAACATTGCTCTTAAACAGAGCTCTAGGGAATGCCTAGCCTCCAGCTATTCGACTGGCGACTGGCCTCCATCTCTGACATTAATATCCATTTTATCCATGTCATCATCTAGTCACCACTGGTCGCATCCAGCGCGGCAGTGCCACCGTCCGCCCGATGTGGTCGTCGCGTCGTCAGCGACCCGCCAGCGAGCAACTGAGCAGCCTTCGTCCGGCAGCCTGGGCGCAGGCGCATTCGCAGACCCAGACCCCCCATATCCAAGCCGCCCACGTTGGTGGTGGCAGCACCAATGGGGCCGGAATCGGAGCCGGAGCCGGGAGAGTGCGGCCCACGGGAGGATCGCCCATCAGTCGCGATCGGCTGGCGGCTCGAACGGCCCTCGTTGGTGGTGGCAGCACCAACGCAGGCCTGACCTCCACCCGTCGGGGGCGACTCGCGACCGCCACCGGTCGCCTGTCCAGACAATTTCCCACCCTACTCGCTAATTTTTTGCTTAATAATCTGAGAAATAATGCGCAAACAGCTTCGGCAGGCAGCGCCGTCGCCACCGCCGCCGTGGGAGCTTCATCCACCACGTCGTCAGGAGAGGCTGCCACAGCGGCTTCTACCACCTCGTCTGCGCCACCGCAAGCAGTTCTCTCGACAGCCACACCTTCTCCAGGCGGTGGAGATTCGGGCAACCTGCGTTCGCAGCTGCGCAGCTTCCTCAACGACAGTCTCTTTGTCGGCGTGCCCATCAACGAGCAGACGATTCCGGGAGCCATTGGTCGCGCTTTGGAGTGGTTCGGCGAGAGCCTGGTCTACCTGCCGCAGTACGAGCGCCCGGAGTACAACTCCCGCGACTCGGTGTGCAACATCCTGCGCGTCAGCCTTCGCTTGATCATCGAGCTGTGCAGTGCGGCTCCCGGCGGATCGGATGGCGCCCAGTTCGAGCAGAGCCTGAAGCAGATATGCGACCAGTTCCGCAAGCGGCTCTACAGCGTCCTCTTTCTGTGTCTCGGCAGCGCCAATGCAGAGCTCTACTGGCGCCAGCTAATGCGTCTTCTGTGTGCGCCCATGCGATCCAGTAAGTACGACCTATCCGACGAAATATTCACCTGGGCAAATAATTAAAATAACGAAAGAAAACCCTAAGAAATGGAAATAGAACTAACAATTTTCTACATCCTTTTTATACCCGTTACTCGTAGAGTAAAACGATTTTAAAATGTGTCTGGCGGTCACATCTTTTAAGATTTTAAAAATAAATAAAAACAATTTTATGGGGTTTAAAAATAATATCGAAATGTAGAAGACATTTTTCAAGTCGGACCACTCATTAAAAAGTTATGCTCAATCAAAGTTTTATATCTCAATCTCTATAGCGTTCTCTCTTGTTTTTTACTATTATTGACTGAAATATTTCTAATTTCAGATTTCCAAAATGAAGCCCTGCAGTTCCTGTGCATCTACATAGACCCCACAATCCCCGCACAGACGGACACCGTGGATGCCCAACAGTTTCTGGTCCTTCGCAGCGTTCAGGCAGCCCCTCCCACAGATGCCGCAGAAGTAGGTCTCCTCACTATGATTGCTATCCAGAAACTTATGCATTAATAGGCATTTATTTCGCCACCGCCTCTTGCCTTTAACCCCAAGCAGCAGCAGCCGCAGCAGCAAACTCTGGACACGGATGTGGAGATGGCTGAAGTGGCCACCAGCAGCAGCAGCAGCAGCACACCCGCAGAAGCCCAACTGCCCGCCGTGCTGGTGGGCTCGGAGCCCTGGCACATGAGTTTCCCCAATGACTGGTTGCCTGTGATAACGCGCGACCTGCAGACCCAGACTGAGGTAGGTCCTTCCATGATTCATTCCTTAACTTAACACTAATATAATTGTTTGAATCCTACAGCAGAATGGCCGCCCCCAGCCGCCCTTCTCCGATGCCTACATCTCGGGCATGTCCGCCAAGAGGCGTAAGATTATTCAGTCAGAGAAACCGACGGCCAGCGTGGAGTGCCTCATCGCCAACGGAGTGCAGAGGGCCATCCAGAGCGCCGGCTTGGGGGGAACCAGTGGTAGTGCTTCAAGTTCCTCGATCAGTGTGGATGCCGTAATCGGATCCATTGCTCACGATTCCGCCATCCAGGCCTCCTACACGGATGCGGTGCGGAATAGTGTAAAGGAGCGCATCAAGCAGGATGCGGATTTCAAGTCCAGCAAGTATCCGCAGATCGCCAAGTTCGCCGAGCAAAAGTAGGAGGCCGATGGAAGCCACCTTGTGCTTGTTGTACATTTTACTTTAAAGAATTGTATTTAATTTAGTTAAAGGCTAAGTTCTGTTTAAATCGAGAAGACGACGAAGATTGCGACAACACCAACACACGGAGAGGACCTTTAGCAAATGCTTCAACCTATATAGAATAATAATATGCAACTGATATGTATCCACACACCACACACTAAGGGACACAACACAGAGCCCGAGCAAAAGCGCTTTTTCGGCTGCGACAACGGAGCAAAATAAACACACTTATTAACTGAAACAATGGCGATTGGAAATGGATTGAATGGAGGGACCACACAGCGAGTGGAATGCTTTCAATTGTCCCAAATGGCGGTGGCGTCCCCTCGTCGCGTGACGTGGTGGAGGAAAAGCAGATCCGAGCCGTGACGACAGCCGAATTCCAAATTCCAGCCAAATATTTTGGCCGGCGCCAATTCCCCATTGACGTGGGCCGATGGCACATGATTGCTGGATGACCGATGACGAATGTGCAGATCATCTCAAGTGGATAACCCTTCAGCAGAAGCACTACAGGAGGCATATCCAAAACATCTTACATCTAGCATCCCAATTCAATTTTACCGTCATCGAAATTCCAAGCCTACGCTACTCTTGTTATTGTTGTCGTCCGCAATCGAAACACGAAAATGTGTCACATGAAAATGTTGAAAATATTTATGTGCAAAAAAAAGAAATACCTAGAATTGGCAAAACATGAATAAAAATAATAATTCATACTGCCGCTTTTCATTAATATTTATTCGAAATGATAGGATGCTAAAAATAACTTGGCTACGTAATCGAAGTATATTTTTATACCTCCAGTTATGGATTACAGTGCGGTTCAAAAATGTAGTTTCGAAAGATCAATCATTAATCCGAACTATTTTTAATAAAGTTTAATTGGGGAATTAATAATAATTTGAGTACCTTTCTTTTTATTTAATATTGTTTCGTCGCTTTTTGGTTAAAATATTGAAACTTTATAAAAAAATAACGTATCTAAAAGTACACATCTTAAATCTACCCTGAAAAAGATTCAAACCAAACTATTTTTGAAGGCTATAAGCATCCTACTGTTTTAGTTCCAAAGTAAGTTACTTTAAGTAACCCAATCGGTAATCCTTATTTCTCGAATGGTTTCACTTGAAAATGTCTTTACATTTTTTTTAAATATTTTAGAAATTTCTATATTTTTTAAAATATGATTAACAAAATTCCTTCCCCCTTACATTTATAGACCGTACTGTATGTAATAAAGTTAATCTTTCCGACGGCCCTAAACATAACATAATCGTGCCAAGGTTTCTCGGGAGCTGGCAGTCTGCATGGAAAATGGAGACGGATGCGGTGGATGGGCAACAGAAGCCACTCGGCTGCCGCCCCCCGATGATCCCGATGATTAATTGCATCCAGAACTGCAGACGAGATGAGCAGACATCGTTGGCACGCGCAATCCGGGGAATTTGCGGAATTTGTGGCGAGCGCATTTAAGGCGCCCAGTGCTTAATTATGCATGCGGGCCCAGAACTTGGAGATAAATTAAGGCAGCGGACTTTGATGCATGGCTCCTGCTCCCGGCTGCCTGTCGCTCCCTGTCCTGAAACTCTGAATCGCTGTGGCGCCAATGGAAAATTTTCATTTGGCCCAATCTCAATTGGGCTGCGGAGATCCTTAAACAAGCCGGTTCCATTCAAACGCTGCCAACGATCCGAAAAGTCATAATTAAAAACATTTCTCGGCGAGGCGAGTGCCAGATGTCTATGTAAAGGACAATTTATCGGGAGTGCGGCGCACACATATGTAAGTACCAACATGTGTCCATGGCAGTATAATGATGCCCCATACATAGAACTAGGTTCCGAAGAACTTGAAGGGGGCACATCGAGCTATCGAGATTGAGTTGCAGATACAGATGGAGATGGAGATTGAGATTGATGCCTGGCGCCGAAAGAACAGGAACACATGTAATTGAGTGTTGCGGACAATTATAGCCAGATCTCCAGTAGCCAATTGGTCAAAAGACTCTCGTAAAAAGAGAGCAATGAGATCGGTAGAGAGTAAGCCAGCAGCAGCAGCAGCAGCAGAAGCTGAAGCAGCGACGCCGGCAGCAACAGCAACAGCAGCAGAAAGCAACATACACGAATCCTCCGCTAGCAGTCTCATCCATCTTGTTCTGGAGTAAAGACGTTCAATATACTCGTATAGAGAGACTCTCGCGGTGTATGAAATCGACAATTAAACAACAAACACAAATTTTTTAGAAGATTAATTCCGTAGAACGGCGATCTACATATATACAAACGGGTCAAGAGGTCTAGCCAGATTGGGAGGGGAGGAGAGAATCTCCAGATCGCTATCCCATCGATACGATCGACCCAACCAACCAACCGATCTTCGAGTAGTTGTTGTTGTGCGCGTGTGTTTGAAAAAAAAAACCGAAAACCGAATATCGAAAACCGAAAAACTAGAGACTGAAATCCGATGCCAGCGGTTTATAGTATCTACAAAATCCTGCTGGAAAACCGAGCTGCAATGGAAACCCCCGCACGCACGCATATGTGCGCCTAGTGGGTTATTCCGAATTCCGAGTTTTCCGTGTTTTTCGGAGCTGCCTGCTCTAAACAGTTGGTAATCCGCCGCCCAAGCGAATGCAACGTGTCCCTAGAAACCCGTGATTTGTGAACTGTGAACCGAACAGATTATTGATAAAACAAAGTGTCCATTTAGCTCCCGCCAAAGAATTGTGAAATTCCAATTATTGAGTGACCGATCGATCGATCAATCGGCAAAATGACCTCCCTCGTCTACACCGTCTTCCACCTGGCGACGCTCCAATGTTCCGTGCGACCGGAGATCTCGCCCTGCACCTGCGAAACGGGCAAGGCCTGGAACCATGTGGAGCTCTCCTGCGAGAAACTGGAATCCTTCAATGCCGTCGTCGACAGCCTGGCCAATAAGCTCGGAACGGAGACCATGATAGACCTCAAGATCACCTACTCTCACCTCGACGACCTGGAAATGCGATCGTTTACGGATATGAACTTCAATTTGTACAAGCTACGGATGCAGTGGAACGGCCTAAAGTGAGTTGACTCATGGTTTCCGTTATATTTTCTTGAGAGAAGGAGCAAACTCGCTCAATAAGGGGTTTTATTATCTGAATTCAATTACTGAGTCACTATTTTACAAAAATTAGTTCAACATGGGCTTATTTGTATTTTATAGATTACAAATGTTATGAATAAATCACTTTGTTGGTAGGTTTTCCTAAAATCTGGTTGTTTTTTGAGTCTCCCAAGTATAATATAATCTATGGCTAATATTTTTTATTTTTTGATACACTTATTTGGTTTCTAGGGTATTTACATTTTTTGTAAGATTTGCCAATAAAAAAGGAAGAAAATAGTTATCAAGCTAAGATTTTACCACTACATATTCGATGTGTTTTAAAATTTCTTGTTAGCCTGTAGCGATTTCTGCAGACTGAGGTGGGTAAATTATTTATTGAGGAAATTTCCCTGCCATAGATTCAATCAAAATATCTTTGCAGGGGAGTTCAAGGTTAGTAGCCGAGTTCCGCAGAAAGGCAGAATTTTCCGCTCGGCCGGCTATCAATTTAGGTTCCTTAAACCCAATAAAAAACCAAGCGAAAAATAATAATGCAAAATGTACACAAATTTCAATACGCTTATGTAAATTCACGAAAAAAAACGGGCTTCTCAGATCGGATCCCCAGGTCTTGTTTACAGCCATATATGTAGATACTAAAACAATAACAATGTCGTTTGTTTACGTCAAAGAGCCCAGTGCCGCCTCATTATCTATGGCTCAATTGGGCAAATTGCGAAGGAGATGCAATGGAATGGATGTGGAGCTGCTGCCGCTGCAGTCGCATCTTAATTGCCGCCCAGATGATTTAATTTTTCAATTAGAAAGTAGCATTGAATTGCTGCAAATTGCCAACGGACTCGGGATTCGATATACTCTTACGCTACTAATTTAATCACAAGTCTCTGCCGAAGCTAAGTTATTGTTTTTGTTGTTATTGAATTGATAATCTTATCAGCAGTGTGCATGTATTGACGGGGAGGATCCTATATACATCACCTTATAAGCTGACTGTATACAACGTATACTTGATGCGTACACAAAATTGATAATTGCAGTTTGTTGAAGGCATCTTTTCAACGGCGCCTGCACGTTTTCTCACTCGGACTCTGAATGAATTTCAATTGTCGCATTGTCTTCTATATATTGGCAATTATAAATAAGAAAAATATAAATAAATGCCGCCGATCTAGCGATCTCTCCCCGGTGTAGAAATAACATTCGAGCCTATTTCATAAGCGCCTGCCGCGGGTTCATTGATATTTGAATCTGTTGTCTTATAGCAAGAGAGTCTCGAATCAAAGCCCGAATGAGTCAGGATTCTTTGTGCCCAAAGAAATTCATTCAGAGAAAGGAATTTGAAAAACAGAAAAGTCATTGTTGAATACAAAATTTGAGTATAGACCTTTTTTTAAAGGCATGATCAGAATTTAAAAAAATTTTGTTATAGATATTATAATACCATATGTTATTGTTAGTACTAGATTGGTTCTTGTTTATAACAAGCTCGGCATTTTTTATATACTTATCTTTATTGTTTCCTAGAATTTATTGGGAATTTATTAGGTTGACTTTTATTGAAAACACGCTCTTGTGAATATATTTGCTAGCCATTTATCAAAAAAAATTCTAAAGAAAACATGAACTTTTATAGTTTTATAACATTAGTTGAATTCCTAGAAAGTGCCGTGTGATTTCTGGGAAATTTATTTTTCAAATTGCTTTTCTGAAGATTTAACTATTCGATTTATCATCTTTCGAATGCAATTTGTGTGTTTGTGTGCAAGACGAAATGATTTAATTACCCGACTTGATCGAATCAGTGTTGTGCACCATCTCCCCGACCGCCGATCTCCCCCAGAACCGCGAATCGAGAATCGAGAATCCAGCGGAGAGCGCGTGCCTCTGATGCCACTGCCTCCGATTCTGGCTGCTCGGGGAACGCTTTTTACATTGATGTCAATTTATAACAATTGACCTATTGCCTTAATATCGCGCTTTGACCAAATCATGCCAACCCAGCCAGGAAAAGTACCGCTACCACACATGTGAATTTATTTGCACTGAGAGAAATTTTAAAATTAAAATACATATTTTAATAAGAAACTATTAAATTAGATTAGGAAGTAATAAACATTAGATTACTTTGTGGCGCCATCACGGTGCTATCACTTTCTAGAACGCTGACTTGGAATTTCCGAAAAGTGAATGATTTTGTTGAATCACAGAACTCTCTTCCGGCAAAATTTTGGGGGTTTCGGTGTCATTCCCGCGAAATCTTCCTCCGATCTTAGTTGGAAATCAGAAATATTTCCGGTTTTTATTCCAATAAAACAGAAAGGAAATTTAATATCAAACAAATGTTTTTTCTACGAAAATATTGTATGCTTTAAAAGAACGAAATTTCAATCTAGTCCAAGAAAATTTTTTAAATCTCCTCACATTTCTGATAAGAATTGTGTTGATTTTTTTTTGAATAAGCGTTCAATGTCTTTTATGAGTGGCGCCAAAATAACAATAAACTCAAGTTTATGATCTCTTTTAACGCCGCTCTAAATCTAGTAATCAAGTGTGGGCAACACCGATGAATGGACGGACATAAGGACTTCTGGGGGATCGGATCTTCAAGAATAGAGTACTGTATGTAGAGTACTGGCCTTTTCGATAGATTTATGGCTTTGGTCTTGTGCTTCGCCCGGGCGATAAGAAGGTCTCATGCTCGGGGTTTACTATATGTCCATTATATGTTCAATAACTCGCAGATTTGTTTGAGGCTATTATTGCATTACTCTTGTTATTACCAGCATTATCAGACTGCAGTCACAGCCCTGAGAAGTGTGTGAAAAAAGTGTTGACGGCTTCACTCGTTGGCTGGCTGGTCATTAATTATGATAACTACGCGTACATAATTTATTGGGTGGAATATTACTAGCCGCTCTGTCTGCTCCCAAAGGGGAGATAGTGTTGCCGATGGAAACGGATTATTCAATATTCCGTCAACATAGTAAACAAAAACAGAGAATTCAATAGCCGAATGCTTGTTTTTGTTTTCGATTTTTGGGGTAAATATGGTAAATATATGGCATACGACTCTCCGTTCTCTCCGTGTTCCGTGGTCTTTGGTCCGGGGTCAGTCAAGAGCGAAGCAGGCAGTCCAATTGAATTTCATTATTACGCTCAATCAATGATCAAGGGGCCAGTTTAGGTCGTGTGACAATTATACCGCTGACGTTAAGGAATTGTGGATACATCGCGCATACCGATCCATCTATCTCGATATCTATGTGCTCAAGTTCAACGGGCTCATTATGGATACAGTATCTAAAGAGGAGTAGCTACCAGCTTCACTCATTACATAATCAAGGCCTGACAAGCCCAGCTCGCAGATAAAGTAGCACTCCTCCCCGGAGCCGGCAATCAATCAAGATCGTCTGGCTAAAAATAGAGCCTGCCAATCAATCTGCTGCACTGGCCACTGTCCATCCATCCCACATCCCATCCACATGCCAATAACGGGCGCCAAGGATGCACTTGGCACGCCATCCAGCCCAGTTCCCATCATGAATCTGCTGTTCTCGGGGGCCGTTTGGCGCCTCGACGGCGACAACTTAATAGCCACCTGCAGACGTCGATAAAGATACTGCTGCCTGATCAGGTGCAACGGAGTGGGGGTTTCGGGGGCTTCGTACCCCTGATAAGGCTGCGTCATCAGGTCCAAAGATAGGCCAGGGATGCGAAACTTGATATGGGCCCATTCAAAACTAATTACAGATTGGCTTGAATCGCTGTCATGGCGTGAATCACATTTAAGGGGCATTGCTCTCTCCCTCGCTCTATTGTGGAAACCATTCATAAAATCAAACGTTCATTCAAAGTTGGAGTTACGCCGGGAGAAATCTTATCATGTTCTTTGGGAATTTCTATATACAATATTAAGATTTAATTCCCACATTTTTTAGATTAAATGGTTTTGTTTATATTCTAATGAATATACGCAAGAGCTGAATATATGTCATCAGCGAAAAAGATAACATTATAAATAATTAATGTTTCCGGAGTAATAAAATAAAATACTTTAGTGGAACATAAAAGAGCTGTTTAACTGTACTCAAACGTAAAATCCTTTTAAGGTTTATGAACTCTTTAGTTTATATTTATTGGAAATATAAACCGAAGATTACCCCTTTTTAGATATTCCGATATTAATGTGTAGTACACATTGTGTACATCAAATATGTCTATAATATTAAAAATATTTAACACTCGATCCTTACTAAAATCGGACTAATCTTTAGCTAATTTATAAACTCCTTTAATAAGAAACTCTTCTTTTCCGATAGCCATATATCTGCATATCTCCGATCCGGATCTCTCCTTCTAATAACACGAAATTGTAATGGATTTGTTTTGTTGTCGCTATTTATAGATCGCTGCCCGAGGTGCCGTTCCGCGGGTTATCGAATGTCACCTACCTAAGCATCGGCGACAACGAACTCGACGAGATCCCGAAGCACGCTTTGAGCCACATGCCGAGCCTGAGGACCCTGGACATCGGGCGGTGCAACATACGGGCGGTGCAGCAGGAGGACTTCCGGGGCATCCAGCGGGTGACGAATCTGATCCTGGTGAGCAACATCCTGCAGCGCCTGGACAAGGGATCCTTCCCGAAGAGCCTGCTCATCCTGCATCTGGGTAGAAATCAGTTGGAGTCGCTGAATGGATCGCTTCACGATCTGGACAACCTGGAGTCGCTGTTCATCAATGCGAATAATATCACTTCGCTGGACGGGGAGTTGCCCGATAACAGTCAGTTGCGTCTGCTGATGGCCCACAATAATCGGTTGGAGCGACTGCCCGCCAACATGGCCGGAATGCACAGCCTGGAGACGGTGCACATCCACTGCAACCAACTGCGATCCTTCGATCGCGTCCTCCGCAACGCCGTCAACCTGTCCGAGGTCATGGCCGAGAACAATGAGCTGGAGTACCTGGCCAAGGATGAGTTCGCCTCCTGCTCCAAGGTGGAGACCCTGCAGATGGGCTGTAACCACATCAAGTCGCTCAATTCCTCGCTGCTGCCCATTCTCAAGCTGAAGGTGGCCAACTTCTCGTTCAACGACATCGAGGAGTTCTCGATGGCCGAACTGCATGGTCTGCGTTCGCTGAAGACCCTCCAGCTGTCCAACAATCGCATCCAACGCCTGCTGCCCGATCCCCGGGGAGTTCAGGATCTGATCCTCATCAATCTGGACCTGGATAACAACAGAATCGATTCCCTGAACGGGGCTCTGGCCGGTCTGGCGAATCTCCGGATACTCAATCTGGCCGGGAACCGATTGGAGCACCTGCAGGTGGGCGATTTCGACGGCATGATCCGCTTGGACATCCTCGACCTCACCGGAAATCAGCTGGCGGAGCTGAAGCCTCTGGAAATGGTGAGTACTTACATTGGATTAACCATTTAACTTACTAAAGGGCTTTACTTTTCAATAGACCTTATTACCCAGCCTGAAGATCCTCAAGGTGGCGTATAATAATATCACCAAACTTGAGCAGGACTTCAAGGGGCTGCCCGTGCTGTGCCAGGCCAACTTGACCAACAACCAGATCTCGACCATCTCAAGCGAACTCGTCACCAACACGCGCTGCAAGAATCACAATGTTCCCGGCAAACTGGAGATACATCTAGATGGTAAGGCATTATTTACATTACATATGGGTATTCTTGTAACTAGTGATAAAAATTAATAGTTTCGAATTTTTAAATTTTTTCTTTCAAAAAATAATTTTTTTTTTTGCTAAACTGTAAATAAGTAAATGTATATATTAATCACCTATAATGCCAATTTTCTTATCGAAGTCATTTATTGCATTCTAGTTTAATATCTTATAATGATCTTAATTATGATTTATAATATGAATACGATATTCTGAAGTTAAAAAAGTATTATTTTTATCGAAACTTCGGTAATGTGGTGCACCCAGAGAAATGTGGGACTATTTTTTAGGTAACGTATGACCTAAAAAATTTAAATAGACTAAAATGTCAGATTTAGGTAATGGGTTACCTAAAAATATTAGCATGTGGACTATCTTCCTACTTTTTAGGTAAAGCTAAAAAGATTTTTAAGGCCATCGTAACCTTAAAATTGGTCCATAAGACCTAAAATTTAGGAATAATTTGAAGTCGATTTTTACTCACAATTTAATACAAATATTGGTCCCTAATATTAATAAGCAAATTATTCATTTTTTATAAGTTTAATATAAAACAAATTTATTCGACTTTTCTTAAAGCTAGTGATGGAAAAGATTCAATATATAAAATCAATACCTATGTGGACTATTTTCCTACTTTTAAGGTAATAGTGCCCTATTCTAAAAATAGAATTAGCCTGTGCCCTTAGAAGCAGGCTTTGGTTTTGCCGCAGGGCTTTTAAGTAGGTCCGTAGACCAGAGGCTAGCCTATTGGACTCTCGCGCAGAAGACCCGGGATCGATTCCCACCAAGGACCAAATAAAATGATTATTTTTTCAGAAAGATAAAATATTTACTTATCCGAATAAAACAATATAAGCAATTAAAATAAGCAAATATGTTACTATCAATGGTAAAAATGTTAGCTTACTTAAAAATACCTAATATTTAGGTAATTCTGACCTAAAAATCTAGTTCACTAGCCATTTTTTGAGGTAACCATTACCAGAAATAAATTCAAGACTGCGTACAAAATATAGTCCACATGGACAACATTTTAGGTAATGCATGGCCTTGGCGCGTTTTTCTGGCCATGTTTCCTAAAATTTTAGGTAATTAGGCCCCTTTTTAGTCTATTTTGTTTTCTGGGTGTGTATACAAAAAAATCATGTTCCCGTAAAATCGATATGGCAATGTAAATTTCAAGTCATGCAAAACCCATTTCGTTTTTACATGAAATACTCTTTTCGACCAGGTCAAATTTACCTGGTCGCATATCAAATCGATCTACGTTTTATACTTTTCTACGCTCCTAATAAAATTTATAATACCCCTAAAGTTAAAATTTATCTACTATTATAATAAAATTCAAATTGGCAACATTTCATATCATTAAGACATCGGTAACAAAATATTCTCTAACCTCATCCCATCTTTTTCCAGACAATCCCATAATGTGTGATGTGCGCCTGAACGAATTGTGTCGCCTGATGGCGGTCCAGGAGGCCCGAATCCGCGGACGCTCCCAGTGCTTCGAGAACGACCAGGAGGTGTGCACGGTACTCCCAATGCTGTACAAGGTGGACCTGCCCATTATGGTGACCAATCTGAAGTTGGGTGGTCGCGAGGACGCCAAACCGGTGATGCAGATGCTGGTGCCCTCGCTGATCAAGGCGAATGACGAGCTGCTGCCGCCAATCATTGCCACGCTGGGCAATCCAGTGCTCATTGGCACCACGCTGGTCAGTCCGGTGCTGTCGCCGCTGCCACCACCACTCTTGCTGAGCACCACCACCACCCAGGCACCACCGCTGCCACCTCCCGTGGAGCCGGAAGTGGAGAAGAACGAGTCCACGACAGCGTTTCCGGTGACCACCAGCAGCACAGAGGAAACCACGACCACTACGACCACCACAGAGACGAGCAGCAGTCAGGTGGCTGCCACCGAGGTGATAACCACCACTGCACCCACCACCACGACCACCAGCACCACGACGCCGAAGCCCAATGAGACGCTGCCCGTGATTGTGGAGCTCCAGGAGCCCAATCCGCCGGCCACTCCGCTCAACCAGACGGAGGATGGCGTGGCTCAGGATGAGTCGGCTGCCCTGGTTCCGCCAGAGGTTCAGGATCCCTCCCTGCAGCAGGAGCTGGAAAGGGAGAGGGAGCGGGAAAGGGAGAGGGAGCTGGAAAGGGAGCGTGATCTGGACCACGAGGCGGTGGCCAAGACCGAGTACGAGACGGTCGAGTATATACCCAATCTGGTGCAGCCGCCGGTGGTGGGCAGTGATGCACTCACTCACTCGCCGCCCAGCAAGGCGAACGCCTTGGAGGAGGACTCCGAGTCCGTGCACTCCAACTCCGTGCACGCCGAGTATCCGCACGCGGCGCAGAGCCTGCAGATACCGGAGGAACCGCCGGAGGAGTGAGTCCCCTAGGCTCCTCGGGGGGAGGGGATTCCCCCAAAGCAAACATATTATTTTACTGTAAATCGCTGACGGTGGACGGAGGAGGCGGAATCGATGGAGACCGGAAGGAGCGGAGGGAGCGAGCTTCGTATGATTTGTATGCCTTAAGTTAACTTAGTTATTATGTTTTATTTAAGCCATCGCTAAATCGAAAAGTTTGTTGCACCGGACGCTTTTTTGTTGAGTTTTTTCCAGGGACCGTAAATAATCGTTATTTGAGATTTTTATTTTAAAGGGCCTACTGGGATTTGTACAAGTTTAAATCAACAATTTAACTGGTTTTTTAATTTAATTTGTTAATTTGCATGCATATACTTTGTGGACAAGAGTAAAAAGAACGTTTTTTTTACGTTTAAAACAAAATATCACAGTAGTAGTTTTAAAATAAAAATCTCAAATAACGAGTACTTACGGTCCCTAGTTTTTTCGTCGATTTTACGCGAATTTCGATCGGATTTCGGGGGCTCAAGCGACCCAGGAAAATCAGGACAAACGTACGAGGACAGTCTTATGATTTAAGCTTATTTGTTGGGGGCTCAATTTCGCATATGTGTGTGTTTTGGTCGCTTTACGGTTTTTAATTTCAGAGAATTATATTCGAAATGGAAACCAGTTTATATACGATAATTTATGTGAATCAAAGTAAGAGCCCTGAAATTGAAAACCGAAAATCAACCGATGGAGACGGAAAGGTGGCGATATCGAATATGCAACTGCAAATACACATAATCTATATTTAATAACTGTATACACGTACGAGCGTTGAACATCTACAAGTAGGTACTTAGAGTTAAACGACAGCAACAACAAAACGCAGCTAATGTTAATAACGAAAAGCACTCACTCACATGAAAACACCCAAAAACCACCCACACCAGCACATCCGTATCCGTACACATGAATAAACGAATACAAAAGAAAAAAAACGAGAAAAAAATATTGTTATCCGTTCGTTAACAAAATGAGAAAATAGATTTTAGAGTGTAATTATATAAAAATCAAAATGGTATTCTAAATAAAATCGTAAATAAAAATTGAATTTATATTTGTTTTATTTTATTGTCACGTTTCGGGATTTCTTTGGCTTTCAAAAAGGGCTCATTCTACGTGAAACTATAGAGGATCGACAAATAACAAGCCTTATTTTTTATTTTTTTTTATCTCTTAATATAGCTTTGTTTTGGAAATTTATGCAGCACTTAAAAATCGTTTGAGTTATTTTTTTAATTGGTATGCAACTTTGTGGTCTAGCTTAATATCTTTTAAAAATTATTTTTAAATAATATTTAAATTTAAAATTAACCATTTTTTAAGTTACATTTAAAATTTAAAAATTCTGTACGGCGGAATAAATGTTACAACTTTATCAAATCTTCACAAAGTGGGTAAAAAAATGCTTGTAGTTAAAATGTTTACTAGTAAAGGAAATTAAATTATAAACTCAACTTCTAAAAATGACCTCGAGCCCGCTAACGTACTCAATAGTAAACATAGGTCGATTAAATCACTAATTAGGAAACAATTTTAGTTCAGCAATTTCCGGTAGTTGTGTTATACCACTCCTACTTAATAAAATAATTAAAACTGAAAAAGTGTGATCACCACGGTTTCTTTATTGCATGCTTGAATTGGTTCTGGGAACTAACACTTTAAGAGGTGAGCTGAGAGCAAATGACCATGTTCTTTGGGAAGGCGGTGTAGTAGGTGGTCAGGGTGTTGACAGCATCGCTCACACAGACGACGGCATTCGGTCCGGTTTTGGGAATCTTTTCGGCCAGTGCGATAGCACTTTCAACTTGCTCCTTGAGGGACCACACCTTGCCCGCAGTCTTCACAACGCAACTGCTGGAGACCTTGGGCTCCTCGTCTTCCACCGAGGCGCACGTTTTCGACTTGAGATTGACGATATCGTCGCAGGTTTTGACGATCTTGAGGTTAGCGTTGATCAGATTGGTCACATCCTGGCTGGCGGTGGCGCCACAGGACTCCACGTCCGCGTTAAACTGCAACGCACTGTCCTCAATGCCGCCCACCCACTTGAGGACGCAGTTGAATCCCTTGATGCTGCGCAGGGTGGCCTCCAGAATCCTGTAAGTTAGCCCGAGCGCACTAAAAGCTTCTATTTTCACATCGCTATCGGTGTTTTCGTTGGGGGAAGGCACCAATGCATTAACCTAAAATTGGATTTTTTGAAGTTTTTAGGTGAAAAACCTTTATTTTCTAGCTGCAAACTTACGCAGAGCAGGCCAACAGCTAAGGCTAGAATGGTATACTTCATGTTGTCGTTGTTTTCAATCAACTATTAGCCACCGATTCCGATGTGGGCCTTTTATATTTGTGAATTAAAACCAAATTAAACTTTGAGCTAGTCACATTGACGCCCTGATAACGTGCAAAGCTAATTGATCAATTAAATGTCGAGTTTATCTATCGTAATATTCAAAAAACCCACTAACACAAAACACGCACTTATTAACAGATAAGGATGGGCCTTAAATAGATTTTTTAGCAACCTGATATGTGCAGCTTAAAATATTTATATTTGCGCGTACTTTTCTGGGGAAATTAATTTTAAACAAGACTTTTATTTCAGCAAGAAACTTTCAAATTTTCAAACCAGTGGAGTTGCCAGACCACTTTTTCAGTGGTTTCCGGTGTCTGTACAGAAATGTTAAGATTAACGTTAACGGTCTAGCTGCGGTTGGTGTCTCCGCTAAGTTAAACGGTCTAGGCCTAGCAAGGACACACCTTAACATTAGCGGGGACACCCATCGCAGTCTTTGGTGAGACCGTTTGTGTTAATTTTAACGATAGTGGCTGTAAACAAAATGTTTCTCGAAAAAAAATCGTTTTAGATATCAGGCTATATTTTAACAGATTAAAGATGTTCCATACACTGGAAAGGAGTTCCAAATCGCTTGATCAGCGTTGAAATCATTCAATACAGTTAATAAACTATTCTTTCCCCTTTTGTTTTTAAATTTGATAAAATTAAAATATCGATAGATTTTTGTATACTTTTAGTATATTTGAAAAAGTAAATATGGTATTTCTTCGGCCGGACGGTATTAATTAATCGCTGAGGCCGCGGTCCTACTACAGCGCAGAGTGCAAAAAAAGAAGAAAGAAATAATAATTCGTGTTTTGTGTGCAGAGTGCAAAGGGTAAATAGGCTGTAAAATCATCTCGGCCGTCGCAGTCGAGTGCCCGAAAAGTCGAAAAAGTGCCAGGATCTTGGATACCCGTTTCGTGCGCGCAGCTCCGCTGTTTTTCCTTTGTTGACGTCGCATTGTCGTCATCGTCATCTTGTGACCGTGTCTATTCGAGTCCGAAAAAAGAAAGAAAAGAAAGTCGTAAAATATAGAAAAGAAAACTAGTTGGGGAGGAGGAGTCGCACACACACAGGCACACAGACACACACACGGAGCCCCCCACTCACACACACACTCACGCAGCCACACAGGCGAACTGCAGTGAAGCAACAAAAGCAACAATAAACACAGCAACATTGCAGGTGAGCGAAAGAGTAAGTGGGAGGGGGCAACAAACATATTTCTCTTTCTCTCTCTCTCTGGGGATTACTTTTTACAATAATCAAATTTAATTTTCGTAATTAAATATCCCCTGCCCAAATGTAATTCCCCCGCTAACAGTTTAAACTATGTTTATTGATAACGCTTCTTTGGCTTTGACTTTTGTGTTGTTTGTTGTTTTAATTTGATAAGTGCCGTTAGCCGGTCGAATGATTAGTCATAGTGATTCCAGGGTTGCCAGGGGCGTGGGTGGAAACGGGTTTATGCTTGCAACGGGGGGCGTATGAGTAATGAATGAAGTTTCAGTTTCGCACATTTGGGCCCCCACCAGTGCGTCGGTGTGTGTGTTTGAGTGACACAAATGAAATCTAATCGCATTTCTGACTCGTTATCACACGCACACAGCCACAGAAAGCACCCATGTACCCATTAATTTGTATATATTCATATGACACCTATGTAATGTACGCCCGCATTTACAACAGATGCAGCAGGTTTGGAAAATGCAACAGTGGCGGTGGGTGGGGGAAACGGGGAGGGGCCCTGCGATCGTGTTGCACAGTGGGCAGCATCATCAAGCGAACAGTGACCTTCGTCGCCAGCGGTTAACCCTTTTCACCGGTCTGCGATGCTAATAGAAAAACATCTCGAAAGCTCAGATAACCGTAAACCAAAGGCAAACATTTCACTTGCAAAATAATAGTATCTTCAGACAGTGGAAATTCCCTAAGACTACTGGTTTTAACAATGTTTTGTGTTTTTTTAATATTTCAAAAAGAATGTTTATTTTTATTTTTGTTTTGAAAAAACAAATTCTGTAGTAAACAAAAACATAGAGTAATTTTAAAGCGACAACATAGTACTCATAATGTTTGGAATTCCACAAAACTATTTTTATTAAGAAAAACAGAAATTCACAACTGCGATAAGCTTTGAATGGTTGCTATAAAGGTTAAAGCGTTTCAGAATTTGACCCAAATTCGGAATTTAAGAAACGATAAGCAATATTTGTAATAAATCATACAAAATTTCTTAAAGTTACTACAACTATAACCTACATAAATATTTTTTGGATTTTAAATTACAAGGTAGATCTTTAAATTACAAAAAATTCAAAATAAAAAAAGCTCAACTGTTTATCGTCAGAGAACAAAAAGTATACCCAAAGAGAACGATTTTTTTACCTGATTACCGACAGGCTTTCATCAATATTTCACCTTAGCGGAAACATGCTAAACGCCTGACAATAATGCACGTCTAAAAGCCTCGTGGATGTGGAATATTTTGCTCGCCTTTAATTGCTTTTAGATATAACGAGCGATCCCAGAGTGATCAGTTCCATCGCGCATTTCGATCGGGGAGCACCTCGCACATCGCACCGCTTCCTTTTCGGTTTGGTTTTTCAGTTCGGTGTTTGGAGCGATTTTTTCAGAGCTTTTTCGCTACGTTCATTGAACCGCTGCCCCGTCAAGGCTCCCTGCCTTCGAACAAAGTGACTCGCAACTCGTTCAGCATTCTGTTTGTTTTGATACCCCCACACAGGCGTACTTATATTTTTTGGCAATAAAACGGCGACGTCTTGCCGAAAGTCAAGTGCAGGAACACAAAGAAAGCTTCACTGCCTCCCCCTCGCCCCTTTTTTGCTCTGTCTGGCATTCAATTTGCTCAAGTTCAGGCAACCACCATAACAAAAACAGACCAGGAACCACCCCAAACCCCCACCACCCAGTATTTCTTGACTCTTGCACTTCATTTGCGTAGTTTTTTTTGCCTTTTTTCTGCGCGACATTTAATTGAATTATTTCGCCTTCTTTCCACTAAATGAAAACAAACAAACAGATAGCCCTTCTTCACTACGATCGTCGTCTGTGGATCGGTCAATGAATTTTGCTCCCCGGATACGAGTATTCCCCCACATTATCACTCGGCTGCTCGCATAGCTCGAATACTTGCGGAACGGGTTTATCTGTGAGTTACAGTTTTGAGGCGGGCTCTCGATGGAGTTTCGCCGCTGCCGGCTCTCTTCGATATGTGTCAAGTGCGTTGTTTACACGAAAAATAAACAAAAATAAATATAAAAGTGGTCGGACGGCCACAAGAACGGTGCTTGTATCAAAGCCAACAATGATTCTCCAGTTATAAACTGGTTAATATTCGCTATTTAACATTCTACTACTTTTAGCAGCACCTCTGGACTTTTCTTGAGGTTCGATGGGGTTAATTACTTTCTTAATTGCTTTAAAATCGGTTATATTAAGGGGAGAACCTGTTTATATATTTTTAAACAATTTCCAATAGATGTATAGAGATAATAATGTTCAACCTTATCGTTTTCCTTATAAAATGTGGTATATGCTTATCAAAAACAAAATATTTGTTCTGTTTATAGCCCGATAATATTATTTTCAATAAATTTAATTACCTTGTAAATTTTATGAAAACGTAACCCACGCAATGTGACGAAATGCGGTTTTATCTACTTTTTCCAAAGACAGTTTTAGAACATTTCGTCTGGCTTGTACAAAGGCACGTAGTTATCTTATCTGTAATCTGCTCGAATTTGCAACGGTCAGTCGGCTGCACTAAGATATATGTGTGTATATACTCGGATTTCTTTATTATTCTAAGTTCTCAAAGAATTTTCGCCAATTTTGCCAGCGAATCGATAACAATTTGATTATACGATGTGCATTTTTTGCTTTTAAAAATAGACTTACACCGCGAAAAGGAAGGGGAAAAAATCAATTCATTTGCTATAATTTCTCGCTGTGGTTGTTGCTCGCCATTTAATGCATAATGCAGCTTGGCCGCAGAATTTGCATATCCAGACATGGCCGTAGACGATAGTCTGTCCACTTTTGATTCTTCTTCTTTGGTTATTTTGCATTTTTGCGGCTTCTTGCTTTGGTCTGCCATGGGTTAAGTTCAAGCTGAGGCATTTGATGCAGTGGGGTCGTTAGCTAAATGAAATGGTTTGTCGGAAGAAAGAAATTTAAAGTATCAGATAATTCTTCTTAAAATCGTTTTTTAATTGGCGCGATGATATTGGATTGACCCTTTAAGGATATAAAAATGCTTATATTGTATTTAATAATGAGTTTATTAACTTTTTTCCTTATATTTACAACGGATACTATTTTTAAGGAATATAATTTGTGTAGTTGTTGGTTCACTCGGAATTAATATTTATGTAAAAATATTTTATTAATATCGCTTTACTTTCATAATTGTTTTTTGTGCAGTGTACTGCCCAGTCGCCTTGGAAATGTCAAGGGAAATACTCTTTGCTGTGTTTTGTGTTATTTTTTGCCGTGCTGTTTTTCCCTTCTGTCTGCATTTCGTTTCCCGCAAATTGAATTATTTCTTCTAGGAGGCCTCTGGACTGGGCCCACATTTCTAGTATTGTAAGGTCTGGTGTGGTTTTTAAAGCAGCGCTTTAAATCGGAGCGTTTTTTATATTTGTTGTTTTAAATTATGCTTTCACTCTTTTATTTCACTTGAGTTTAGCAATACCTTTATCTATCTAATTGTGTGTTTTGCACCATTGCAACGACAAACATTTGACTATATATAAATATGTATATCCGTATGTGTACTCTTTTACTATGTATTTTGATTGTATTTATCTTGTATCTCATATTTAGCTTGCTTTGGAGCACTTAAACAGCAATAAACATAAACCAAACCGAAAAAAAACAAAACGAATAAAGGGCAAAATAATCTATAGCTTTTATTCAAGCAAAAG